AGGGAGCAGCGAGGTCTCACATGGATCTGCGTTGCCCTCACCTCCGCCATGACTCCCAGGCGCCCACGCATTTGGCTACGGTTGCGCAGTCCGCAGCTCTTGGTGAAGCCACGAAGTCGAAAAGGTCTCGACGTTACCCTCCCCTCTGCCGTGCCTCTCAGGAGCCCAGACGGTTGCGAAGTTCCGCAGCCCCCGAAGAAACCGCGATGTCTCACACAGATCTGCGTTGCCCTTACCTCCGCCGCGCCAGGAGCTCACGAAAGTGAGTGCAGTTGTGAAGTACGCAGCCCCCGACGGAGCAGCCAGCAAGGTCTCAAATAGATCTTCATTGCTCTCTCCTCTGCCGTGCCTCCCAGGAGCCCACGACAGTGGTTACAGTTGCTCAGTTCGCAGCCCCTGAGGGAGCCGCGAGGTCTCAAATTGATCTTCGCTGTCCTACACCTTCGCCGTGCCTCTCAGGAGCCCACGGAAGTGGTGACCGTTGCGCAGTTCAACCCCGGCAGGAACCGCGAGGTCTCAAATGTCGGGGCCTAAGAGACGGGGGTCAGTGCAAACGGGGGTCAGCCAGGGCACCGGATCCTGCAGGATCCTGCGAAGGCCCCCCCTGGCTGACCCGGGTTAGGGAGCCGCTCGTGGCCGCGAGGCGGCCGCGCGTATTGGCTGACCCGGGTTTGCGAGGACCTGCGTTGCAGTTTTTTTTCCTGCATTTCAGTTTTTGGTTTCCTGCTGACCCGGGTCTGGATTGACCCGGGTCAGAAGATCCCCGAAAATGGATCTGCTCTGCCTTGCACCCCTACCTTGCCTCCACGGAGCCCGCGAAAGTGGCGACAGTTGCGCAGCTTGCAGACCCCAGCAGGAACGGTAGGAGAGCAAGGGAGGCAAGGGGGGCAGGAGGTTGGAAGAGGGGGGGAGAGTGGGCGGGAGGGTGCGCGAACAGTGCTCCATTCAAAACGAGAACCCAAAACAATATGAATGTGTGCGTGTGGGGGAGAGAGAGAGAGAGCGAGAGAGAAGGAGTGTGTGTGTGTGTGTGCGCGTGTGCCTGTGGGTGTGTGTGTGTGTGCGTGTGTGTGTAATCCTTGCAACACCTCACCCGCAACACCTGGACATTATCGTCGCATCGGCGTCACCAGCATCGATACCGTCATTGGCCTCACCGTCGTCATCGTCATCCTCGTCACCACCAGCGTTCCTATCTATCATTATTGTTGCCACTGGTGCCGACGTCATCATGATACCGCGCCCGCCCGAACCACCGACCCGCATTGAAGGGCCCGCGTGCCAGCGTGATCGTTGGCACGCGCGGGCGCTGCCGCTGGGCAGCGCCATCGCGACCGCATCGGTTGTTCCACAGCCAGTTGGCCGCTCTGCGCGCGAACTTGCGCGCTCAATCGCGGCCGCAGAAGTGCGCCAGCCAGGGCCAAGCAGTCATCGCACACGCCGCAGCAGGGGCTTTTCAAGCCAAGCTGCGAATGGGAGGACAGGATGATTGTGCGAGCAGTGGAGCTGGCAACTCCAAGCTTCGACATTGGTTGTTTGTTTTTTTCTGAAGAGAAACAAAAGAGTAGGACCTATCCCCGCCCACATCACCCACGATTCTGCCCCAGCGTACGTTCTCGATATGAGTCCGTGCCATCCGAGGCAGACCGGCATCGCCCCCTCCCCCCTCATCTTCTGCAACACATCTTTGTGCGCGCATCAAGTATAAACTATGAACAGATTCCAATAATCCCTTACAGCCAATGGGGCGACGTGCGCACGCGCGCGTCTTCGCGCGCGCATGCCACAATTTTTCAACAACTGTTGGTTTCGCACGGATTTTGAAAGGATGTGTCGTCAACACATTGAAACACGTGGCTTCGTAACAGGACTATAAAACAGTACCGAAACCAAAACCAATTTGCGCCCGAGCTCTTCCCGATGCCTAAGAACACCATGGGCTTTCAACCGGTTCGTAGCATGCTACCAAATTGGCCTCCAGCGCGCGCGTGTGGGAATCGCTCTGACGCCCCTGCGCGCGTACCATCGCAAGAATTCGTTGCAACAGATGGGACGGAGTGCGCACGCGCGCGTCGTCGTGTACGCACGCCAACGTCGTTCAATAACATTGGCTTCGTCTGGATGTCAAAACGAGTGTATGGAAAACACACGCATATACATAGAGATAACATACGGTGTTGGAGCGCCAGCAAAAAAAGCTTGCCCTCGCGCTTCTGTGAAGTCTTGAAACCACACGTTTTGACCAACATTTCTTGTACATCATTCTGCCAAGCGGGCCTCTCGCGCCGCGCGTCGAAATCATTCGAACGCCCTTGCCCGCGTGCTGCGGGTGCATGGTCCGTATCAAAGAAGTATACCATGCGGGCCCTTCTCTCGCGTCGGCCGCGCGGGCATGTCCAAATCCCCCAAACTTTTCTCACCGACGCGAGGACGCCGTCATCGTCGTCGGCGTGATTGGCATCGGCGCCGTTACTGGCCTTGCCGCCATGGTCATCATCGTCACCAGCATCGCTACCATCATACTCGTGTCTACCGTCCTTGACGTTGCCATGATACCGCGCCCGCCCAAGTCCCCGACTCGCACTGAACTGCCCGCTGGGAACTGCCCAGCGGTCAGAGCCACGGCGGCCAGTCGGTCTCGCCAAACTAGCTGGCCGCAGGCATGCGTGGGCCAGCGCGGCCGCGGAGATGCACCAGCCAACACCAAGCACTCATCGCAATCGCCGCCGCGTGGGCTTACTCATGCAAACCAAGTGGCGGGCGGGTGTGTGGGATGATTGCGCGAGCGGTGGAGTTGACAACTCGCTGCGAAAGAAATGAATTGCGCCACATCTATTGCACCACGTTGTATGCCAGAATCCACGGTTTGGGGCCCACGCTGGCCAACATCATTTTTCGGGATATCCCTTCCATTCCCGATCCTTCGCACTTTTTCTCCCCATTCTCCTTGGTCACACGCCTTCCCTTTCCATTGCCCCTCCTCCTTTGATCCTCTCATCCTCCTTCTCCGTCGCCTCCAGTTTCTGCCCCTCCTCCTTTGAACTTTCTCCTCTCCCTCCTCCTCCTGGTCGTCGTCGTCCTCCTCTTCCTCTTCCTCCTATTCCTCCGCCTCCTCCTCTTCCTCCTCCTCCTCCTCCTCCTCCTCCTCCTATTCCTATTCCTCCTCCTCCTCCTCCTCCTCCTCCTCCTCCTCCTCCTCCTATCCCTCCTCCTCCCCATCTCTGCCCGACCGAGCCCGGGGGGGACCTGGGGGCGGGTGTGTGGGCGAGGAGGCCACTGGCGGGCCTTCCGCGAAGCCCACCGCTTGGCAGGCTCGCGGTGTCGGACACCGACCTGAAGCAGTCTGCGTCTACCGTGCCTGAGCAGCTGAAGGAGCTACCTCCCGCGGGTGGGCGCGCCACGCGGCGGCACGCCGGCGCTCGCGGCGGTGTGCTCCTCCGTTCTCGTCGCCGTCGTTGTTGTGGTCGCCGTCGTTGTCATCGTTTTCCTTCTCCTCGTCCTTAATCCTCCTCCTCGTCTTCCATTTCCTCACCATCTCTTTCCTCCTTTCTCCTCGTTCTCCTCTTCCTCCTGCTCTTCCTGATTGCCGTTAGTATCCTCCTCCTCGGCTCCTACTCCTCCTTCCCCTCCTCCTTCTCGTGCTTACCCTCCGCCTCCTCCGGATCTACTCCCCCCAACTCCTCCTCATCCGTCCCTTCCACAATCCTCCTGTTCTTCCTCCTCCTTCCCTTCATCCTCCTCTTCGTCAGTTTCACCCATTCCTAGCTCTCTTTCGTATTGCCTTCTGCTACTCATCCTCCCCTCCCTGCGCGAGCATGAATGTGAGCAAGTGGGGAGGAGGTGTCACAGGCAGAGGGGAGGAAGGAAGGGAGCATCCTCCTCCTCCTCCTATTCCTCCTCCTCGTCCGCCTCCCCTTTCGGTTTGCCTCCTCATCATCGTTTCTCATCATCCCCTCCCTTGCCGCGCGCTCGGGAACTTGAGCAGGTGGGGAGAAGGAGACGGGGATGGGGGAGGAAGGTAGGGAGGAAGGTGGGGGCGAGAGGCAGGAACAAGGCGGGACCAGCGGTTCTGCAGAGCCGGGGCAGGGGGGCCAAGGCTGGACAGGCGTGGTCTTAGTGGCCCTTGGAACGATAGGGAAATTTGTTACCTGACTCGTTTTTTTTCAATTTCTGCTACCGTTCCCGGCGCCGTCTTTTTCACGTTTCCGGCGCCGTTGTTTGGCTGTCTTCGTTTCTTGTGGCGGCCTGGTCCAGCTCACCGCTTTTTACCGGGTCCGACCCGTCTTCGAACCAGTCCCGAACGTCTTTGGGATCCTTGGATTGCCCAGGTCATTTCGGTGGACAGATTTGCGCCGTTTCTGTACACAGTTTGGTTTCGTTGTTTTCATTGGCAAGGTGCTGCGTTTTGAACAGATCTAGCCTGCCGATATCTTTGTTGATGTCTTCCAGCGCTGCTCGAAGCTTGCAGAGGCGCATCGCCATGCTCATACAGAGTCCGTGCTGTCATCTCGCCATTTGTGTTGAACGCGCCCATAGCCAGGTCGACATTACGGTGGTTCACGCAGCTCATCAGGACGAGTGCGAACATCGCACCATCGCTTTCCCTTGTTCGGACGGTTCGGTTCTTATCATATGCGCGAAGCACAAATGCTACAGTAGTGGAGGCCAGATTTGTGGTCTTGCTGCTAAGCGCGCTTCGGTCCCGACCCGAGCTAACACGACTGGGTGGGGCTACGTGCGTAGGGGCAAGCTGCGATGCGAAGGTGCCAGAGTGGATATCGAAGGCTTGATTCAGCGTTTCAGCTATCAGGTTGCCACCATGGAGCACTGTCTGAGCGCAACAGTGCTGGTTTGCACCGCTGTAGTACCTTTTCAAAGCGCCTCGCAGACCGTCCTCCAGCGCGTGCGCACGTCCCTCACCCTCGACGGGGACGAAGGCCCGCTCGTGCCAAAATTGGGGTACAGGCCAGACAAGTCCGACTAAGTTTTGCCTCAGGGCGGCTGCAATTCCCTCCATTGCAGTCGCTAGTGATGCTCTTGAGCAGTCAGGAGGCCCACAGTTGTGCCAGGAGGAGGAGGAGGAGGTGGAGGTGGAGGAGGAGGAGGAGGAGGGCGGGGAAGGGGAGGGGGGGGGAGGGGGAGGAGCAGGGCGAGCAGAGGAGCCAGAAGTCTCTTGACGCGCCGCTCCCAAGACATTTCTCTTGTGACACAGCCCCCGCGGGTTCCCCTTTCCGCTCTTCGCGTGCCCCCCCTGGAGGCTTGGGCTCGCCCTGCGAGGCTGCCGCAGCCGCCATCGTTTCTCATCGGTCGGTTCCTCCCACCCCCATCCATAATTTTGGAGGGAGGGGGAGGAGGATTAGGAGCAGGAGGAGGAGGAGGAGGAGGAGGAGGAGGAGGAGGTTCCGGGATGTGAGTCTAGAATCGGTTGGAGCAGATCCCTCGGGGCAGGCCGAATTCCGAATCGGCGCTGGTAAAGCCCTGGTGGGACACCCGCCTGATCTCGCTGAGCCCCTCTTAACCTGGATTGCATCGTGGCTGGTATTGCTTGGTCCGTCTTCGTCCCGGGCTTCATCCGGCCTGGTCTGGCTCGGTGGCTGCATTCTCAGGCTATGCAGCCCCCAATCCCCGTTTGTTTTGCGTGATGGTCCCAGGGACCGAAACTGAACACAGTATGCAGCCCCCAATCCCCGTGTATTTTGCGTGATGGCCCGAGGGGCCGAAACTGAACACAGTTGCCCGCTGTGCGACAGACAACGCCCTTGGTGGTTTTCGGGCCTTCACGCGGGCCTCTGGCGCCCGTTCGAAGCGACCTGGGCACCCCCCCCAACGCTCTCGTCGAGACGCGGCCGCTGGAGCGCACCCCGAGGCTGGAAAACCGAAGCGAAACATCACGAAACCGCAAGAGAACTTCGAGTGCCGATTCCGAGAACCAGCGTCGCTTCGCCATCTCTGGCCCTGCCGCTCCCTCTGAGTCGGGCCCGTCCCTCTACAGGAGGAAAGTTCAAAAGTAGTCAAAAAATAGCCCTGGGACGATTTTTTTCAGTACGTGTTGGCCATTTTGGTGTATTTTTTTTTGTATTGTGTATTTTTCGTCAAAATCCCCCTGTAGGGGGACAGGCCCGACTTGACGCTCTCTCGCTCCCCCCTCCCACGGGGCTCTTGGCCACCCCTTCCCCGGAACGCTGAGAAGCGCCAGGGGCGGCGCTGGGAGGCGCCGCCAGAAGGGGGGCCCAGCGCAGACCCTAGGAGTCCGCACGGAGTTCCGAACGCTTGTGTGTATAAAGCTGTTCTGCGAACTCGGCCTTACCGTTCTCCCTCCTCCCTCCTCCCTCATCCCTCCTTCCTCGGAGTAGATGGGGTCGGAGGATCGCGACGTATCGCCGATGCATGGCCGATGCGGCTCGATGTGCAGCCCGATTTGCTCCACGTCGACCTCGCCGATGCATCGCCCAAGTCGACGATGCATCGCCGGTGCATCGCCGATGCATCGCCGATACATCGCCGATGCATCGTCGATGTATCGGCGATGCGGCGCGATCCTCCGACCCCATCTACTCCGACCCCAGATAGGAGGCCTCTATCATCCCTCCTCTTCATCTCACCCCGCCATGGTATCCCTCGGACGTGTGCATTTTTTTGTCGGCGAGGCCCATCGAGGAGCACTCTGGGTCATCATGCGAAACAATCAACGCACGAAACCGAACAACGCACGGGGACGTTCGAGCGATGGCAAGCCTCCACCTCCCGCCCCATAAGTACCGCCTTTTCTCGAAGGAGTCCGACCTCCTGGCGCTGATGGAGGAGCACGGCGTGGGCACCGACGCCACGATGGCACACCACATCTCCAATGTTATTTCGCGCAGCTACGTGAAGCTGGACAAGGATTATGATGTTCCAACCTTCTTCTTTAGCCTTGATCACCACAAAGAATTTCGAGCACCAAGAAAGTACCCAAACTGGAGGGTTGTTATTACGTGTCGGGCCCTGGGAGGCGATACTCGTTCGACATTGTTTCGATACTTTTCGGGGTGCTCAAAATTATTTCTGGGATGTAGTCCTTAAGTACGATGGGAGCAACACAAGGCAAGGAGAGGCCAAGCCTCGCCAGGCAGAAAACTACAGAAGCATTGATGTTCGAATTGTTGTTTGTTTTCGTGTTCCTGAAGCATCCCTATTCTCGGGATGCCCTCCCCTCCTGACGCTGCGCGTCGCCCAGGGTGTTCCGTGGGAGCCCGAAGCGTCCCGAACGGCCGCCAGCGACCCGAGTCATGGCCCGAAAGCCAAGGTTTGCTGTGAAGGAAACGGGCTTTAATGTTATCCGCAGGACTAGCTTCTCGGCCAGAGCAGTTGTTTGACGGTCCCGGGGCCCGGCGGGTCTAATTCGTGGCCCACAATAGCCAGAAACCGTCCGTCGTGCATTTTGTTTTCCACGGCGCGAGCGGTGCATGAGCCTTCAGCTTGCGGGCGTCGATTGATGGAGAGGAAGCATGCTGCCAAATAATTCCCAGATGTCTAAAAAATGTGTCACCCATGTTTTAAATATGTAAAAGAAGCATGTTTGAAACACGTTTGGAGCATGTTGCACACATGTTAAGCACAGTTTGAGCTCAATGGTCGGATTGTTAGAGTGTCCACTGTCATGGCATCCACAACCTTCGTCGATCCCGCGAAGACCTCCCAGGAGTCGTGTCTTCCTCACCCTCCGCGCGGCCAGCGCGTGGGGCAATCGTCGGGCGGTGGCGGCCCGGGAGTCGGGGAGCAGGCGTGGCAGCGGTGGTGGTTCCCTTTTTTCGCTTGCGGGGCGGGAGGACGATCCATGGAGAGGAAGCATGTGTAAGCATGTGTAAAACCATCGATGTGTTGCCAAATACTTTTCAGATGTCTAAAACATGTGTTAAACAGGTGTTCAACATGTGTAACAAGCATGCTTAAAACATGCTGTGAACACTTGTTCCTAGATTCGAAACACATTTTGAATTCAATGATAGGTTCTGTCAGGGTGTCCATTGTCGTGGCATCCACAACGCTTGCGGGGCGGGAGGAGGGGTTTCGGGAATCGCAGGGAGATCTTGCCGCCTCCCCGAACCCTGAGACCTGGGCGTTGCATTTGGTTCACAAGAGGCATTGTCGCCCAGTTTCGGCAACCCGGACTATCAGACGCCAGTCGATCCGGCTCGTCGACGTCACGGATGAGGTCTAGGGCTCCGTTGCCACTGTTGGTCGCAGCGTCAGATCTCAGGGTCCGAAGGCCCCTGCTCATCCTCATCCTCCCCCTACCCTTTCTCGCCCAGCTCTTCCCAGCGTGTGGGGGGAAGGACGAGGGACGCGAGAGGTATCTTACGGACGACAGCCGGGGGAGAGAGGCGTACCCTTCAACACACAGTCTTGGAACCACATGTCCGAGGCTCTACAGAGCCTCCGACGGGCTACGCAGCTACGCTTCCTGCACCCCTCGCTCGCCCCCGCACTGACGACACCCAGCCGAGGATGGGCCACGGGAGGGTCGGGCGGATGCGGTGGTTCGGGTGTCCGCAAGGAGACGCGCAAGCTCGCGCCGACTGGCCTAGGCCGCTGCCGCCGCTGCTGGGGGGGGGGCTGCGGTGGGGGGGGGGGGGGGGCAGAGGAGCCGGGGCGAGACGAGAGGAGCGCGGAGGGCAGGCACGCCTGCCAGCGGAGGGGCGGGGGGAGGGTAATGCTGACGGTCATGCTGACGGTAGTGAGGATGACGAGGAGCAGGGACGGAGGGAGGGAGGAAGAGGGAGGATGAGGATGGGGAGTTAGGCTGGAGAGCCAGAGGGGGCGGGGGAGAGGGGAGAACAGCGATTAGTCTCAGTTGCTCTTCCTCGCAAGTTCTGCTCATGCCTTTGGCTGCGCCCCTCTGAGGGCTTCCTCCCCCTCCGCCCCCCTCCTCTGCACGCTCATCCCGACCTGCGCCTCCTGCTTTTTCTCCTCCTGATCCCTGCTCGTCTTCCTCATGCTCCCCCCCCCCCTTCCCTTATCCCCCTCCTCTCCCAAGATCCCTGCTCCCTCTCATCCCTCTCCCTATCCTCCTCTCCCCTCGCTCTCTCCCTCGTCATCCTTCCTCCCTCTCCTCAGGAGGGAAGGAGGAAGGGGAGGGATATGAGGAGGAAGAGGAGGAAGAGGAGGAGGAGGAGGAGGAGGAGGAGGCAAGGAGGAGGAACGCCGCCGCCACCGCCCGATCCCGCCCCCATTTGCCGCGCAGCGGGGCCGAGGCGGCGGCCAACGTGGCCCTCACAGGCCCATCGGGCCCGCGATAACTACACTGGCTTTCTCCGCGACGCACACCGGCAGCGACAACCTCCACATCCGCAACTACGACACAACGGGACGAGAGGTCAACAGTTTGCTGACGCCCGAGTTGTACTACGGTTTCACGGAGATCAACCGCGATCCGCCCTCCGAGCAGAAGACGGACACCACGAGCTCTGGAAGAACAACACGTGGACGGAGCTGTGGCCAACGACTATCCCTGCACGTGCTTGAACCAAGGGCCACAACGGCAGGTGCAACGCATGCCAAGGAACGGGAAGTTTCCCCAACCCTTGCCGCGACGACGTCGAGCCCGAGAGCCGCAGCCAGAAAGGCAATCACTTCTGCAGCAAGGGAGGACGACGCACCCGGCCAGAAGCCGAAGGATACCGCCCGGCAGCACAACCACCACACCACGAACATAATCAACATTGTCATGCCGCTGCGCAGTGTCTACGCCGTCCGAAGGCCGGACTGGGAGTCACCACCAAACGACCCAGTCTTCGGAGACGATTGGGGCATGTCCAAATGATCGACGAAAGGCGGTCCTCCGCACTCATCATGGAGGACAGCCTTGCGGGACTATCTACTACAGCTGCAGTCGCCCAGGTTACCTTCACTAAAGTCTTGAATCCCACAGGTACGCCATCAGCCTGACAGGACAGGGAAATCGACAACACCAAACGGACCATGGAGGACTACTATGCGCACGCCACGGCGAACCATACCGAGATAAAGGAGTACATTCATGAACTGTCGGCCAAAACCGACGAGCTCAACATCCTCGTCCGTGGCATCAGCATAGACAGGGACGACAACTACAGTGACGCAGGTGTCGAAGACTCCGAAGCCGAAACTCAAAGGAGGGATGCACTCAGAGAAGGGCGCCCACGCCAGCCCTCAGAAGGCAACCAAGGGCTGGGGTGACGACCGAGAGCCCAGACACCGGTATGCTCTTCAAGCCCTGAGAGTGGACAGCCAACGAATGGCCCACGACGACCAGAAAGACAACCACGATGCCAAATGCGAGATCCACGTCCTCCAGAAGCACATCCGCGCGGCAGATGATAGCGCACAGGAGCAAAGTAGAAGACTACACGAGGCAACAGCACAATAGTGCCACGACCAGAACGAGCTGAGGAACGAGATCGACAACGCCAAGCTGACGAATGCCGCCCACCTCGAATTCCTGCAAACCAGGAGCGCCGTAGCCTTGAACAGGGCGGAGGAGGAGCTCGAGCCGATCGGGGCTACCGCAAGGGACGCCCCCGAGCGTCGCGACCACGCCGAGTCAGATGCGCCGCGCGACGAGCTCAGGATCGCACAGCAGAAGCTCATTGAGAGCAACGACGACCGCGCGAACATACAATAACCGCTACGAGAGGCAGAAGAGGTGGCCAAGGAAATGCGCGCACACTTCCACGTGGCCAACAAGGCCGAGCAGCGCATTGCAGCATCGAAGCGCAACGGCTCAATCACCGCAACGAGCGCGACCTGCATTACAAGAAATTGGGAGATTATGTGAGCAAGCGCCTTCTTGTACAAGCTGGGCTACACGACAAGGAGTTGCACGTGGAGGCGACGATGGGCATCGTCCGCGAGTTGTATCAGCACAGAGTCGCCGAGATGAATCGACTTGTCGGAGAAGGAGCTTTGAACAGGCCTAACACCATGAGCAATGCCTTCATCGCGCGCCAACCGACATGAACCCAGCGCAGCGAATTACGAGCTGAAGGGGCGGTGGCAACTCGTGTTCCAGCGCGCGGGGATGCGCGCGGCGGAGCAACGCGAGGCCACCTACACGAGATTCAGATCCACATGCAGAGGGGGGCGGGCTGGAGGAATTGGAAGGAAGCGCACGAGAGGCGCGCCGTGGAAGCAACAGAGGAGTACCGTTCGAGCGTTGGCCACATCGACGGTGGGACTCCCGACGCCGCAGGACCATGTGGGGGCATCGACTCGAATTCCCCGCGCGCCGATGGCCTTGGCGCCGGGATCGATATTTCCAGGTCGGCCAACCAACGAGACCACCCCGATCGAGCAGGACACGCCATCCCCAGAGACGAAGCGAGATGGCGGTATCACACGCACCAGGGAGCTCACCCCGAAAGCCAACGCATCCCAGAGGAGGTTCATTGGCACGCCTGGGAGATGATCCTCCTTGTCACCAGCCCGCAATTCCCCGGCGCCTGCGACGAGGAGCTCAAGTACATGGAGAACGAGCAGGGCTGCGATTCACCCCAGCGTGCCCCCCCATATCGCACACAACAAGGACCCAGAAGCATCAGCTGTCATCGCGACCAGCGTCGATGCAGCCCAGGAGGATGGGGCTGCAATGGTGATCTACTGACGGTCGCGGGGCGGCGCGGATCCCTCCAGGGGCCTCGCTGCCTCTGGTGAGTCCGGAGCGCCACGTTGTCCATGCAGCCCACACTGCCATGGCCCGCCGCAACGGGGCCACCGCAACCAGCAAGAGGGTGCATAACTCAACTGGCAGAGCCGCACGGTCCACAGCCTAGACATCGGGCCCGCCATGACACCGTTCATGCTGAGCGCAAGGCCACGCAGTGCCCCCAGGCGCCACATGGCGTACAGGGGCGAGTTCAGGATGCGAGGTGCAGACTCCGACCACTACGACCGCCGGAGCACCGTGCTGCAGGACCTGACGTCACGGCCGCCGCCAACGCCTTCCATTTTGGACCGGGGCAACGCGATGGCGCACCCTGCTACGTGGGAGAGGGCTGGACACTGGAAGACCCCAACCAAAGACATCAGGCGGGAGAAGCGGTTCACTCCACCTTCGCCGTGACGGAGCCGATCGTCGATGGTCCTAAAACCTCTTCCTCATCCTCCTCCTCCTCCTCCTCCTCCTCCTCTTCCTCCTCCTACTCCTCCTCCTCCTCATCCTCCCACTCCCCCTGCTTCTCCTCCTTCTCCTCCTCCTCGGGCGCGCGGAAAAAATATTTAGTTACCCCCTGCTTGTGTGGCGGACCCCAGCCTTTTTTATACGTCCGCCGAGAAAATAATTAGTTTTACTGGGGGTCTCTAAAGACTTACCGCAGTTCTATCTTACGTAAACGTAGTGCGTAGTGCAAGGAATAGTGCCGAAGTTCGGATCAGTGACTTGGCACGACTTATATGTAGCCCACCCCGCTCGGTTGAGTATGGGAAGTAGTAATCAGTAGCACAGCCCGGTTTACACTCCAAGATACATGCGTAAGCCTTACTTCAGCAAAACTACAGTACTTAGAACACCAACGTTTGTTACACCTTGGTGTAAGTAGCGTAGACCCAGCTGTACCCAGGGCGCAAGGAGCATGAGAGGCTCCGATCTTTGAGCAGGCTTCCACAGCGAACCTACCACCCCCATCCCTCCTTGTCCTCCCCCTCTCGGCCCCCCACCCCTCTCTTCTCGTCCGCCTCCTCCTCCTTTCCCCCCCGCTCGTCCCCTCGTCATCTCTCCTCCGTAGCTCTCTCTTTCATCCTCCCCCCTCCCCCTCGCCTTCCCGCCCCCCCTCGACAACCAATTCTTGTCTACAATTTCTCAATATGAATACTACTCTCCTCCTTCCCCTGATGACGGGTTGGGAGTGTTCGCCCCCCCACCCCCCCGCGTATTGTTTTTTACACACAGGATTCCCCGGAGTTGGGTTTTCGCTTGCATTTTTTTCATGCTGCTCTCGCTGAGGCGCCGGCCTCATTTTCGGGCCCCGCTCGTTCCGAATCGTGTTCCCTCTGCAGCGCTGGCGTCATTTCCGTGCTTCCGCTCGTTCCGAATCGTGCTCCCGCTGCAGCGCTGGCCTCATTTCCGCGCTTCCGCTTGTTCCGAATCGTGCTCCCGCTGCAGCGCTGGCGTCATTTCCCGTGCCATGCCACGGCATGCAATGCAATGCTAGGTTGCGTTCCGTTGCGCGATGCCATGCCTTCAGCTGAAGCTGTGATATGCAGTGCTTAAGTGCCGCGTCGTGCTATGCCATGCTACGCTTTGATCTTCAACGCCATGCTATGCAATGTTATGTTCGGGGGCGCTGTGCGATGGCATGCTTTGCATTGCAAAGCTTTGTGATGCAATTCTTCAGTACGCCACGCCACGCAATGCTGTGACATACTACGCTTTGCGGTGCTCTTCTACACCATGCCATGCCGTGCTCTACAATGCATCGCGTACCCTTTCGGGATCATTGCCCTGCTCGACATCCGATTGTGCGAGTAGAGAGGGGATCTACGCCGTGGTAAGGAATGGGAGGGAGGGGTAGGATGTCAGATATGACGCGAGCGCACCTAGCTTATCCCCAGCCCCTCCCTCCCCTCCCTCCTCCCCCTCGTCCTCCGCATTCTGTCTCCTCCCTCCCCCGACACTCCCCCTCGTCCTTCTCTTTCCCCCCCCCTCCCCCCCACCCCCTCTCCAACCTCCCCCTCCTCCTGGTCCCCCTCATCCAACCGCCCGCCTCCAACCCCGCTCATCCAACCGCCCCTCTCCAACCGCCCCTCATCCAACCCCCCACCCCCTCTCCCTCCTCCCCCCCCTCCTCGTCCCCGACTCCTCCCCCCCATCCTCCCGCCCCTCCCCGTCTCCGCCCCAGGCCTCGCCCTGATCCACGCGTACACGCTGATCGACCCCGGCCTCGTGCAGCCGACCGTGCGGGCGGCCGCGCGCTCGTGGACCACGCGGCCGGCGCTCCGGCCGGGCCTCTCCCCGGGCGGTTGTCGGCGGCCCGCGGAGGCCTTCCCGCGCATTCGGGGGATCTTCGGAGGCCTTCGCGGGGCCTCGCAGGTCTTCGGGTGCTCCTGCTGCGCGTGCTCCTGCTCCGCGTGCTCCCGCTCCCGCTTTCCACCTGCCCTGCTTACCCCCCTCGTCCCCCTCGAAGATGACGAGGAGGGTGGGGGGGAAGTAGGATGTCCTCCCCCCTCTCCCTCCTCCTGCTGTTCGTCGTCATCGCCGTCGTCGTCGTCCTCCTCCTCCTTTTCCTCCTCGTCGTCGTCGTCGTCGTCCTCCTCCTCCTCGTCCTCGTCCTCGTCCTCCTCCTCCCCCCTCCCCCCTTCTCCCAGAGAGCGTGCTGCTGGATGCCGACGAGGAGCAGCCGGAAGAGTGGAGGCGTGGGAGGGAAGAAGGTTGATAATGAGGGAGGATGCCAAAGGTTGCGAAAGTCAAGGGTCTGGAAGGGGAAGGCGCGGCAGGTCGTGAAGGAGGAGGCAGGGGGAGGGAGGCAGGGATAGAGGGAGGGAGGGAGGAAGGAATGGGGTGTGGAAGTGGGCCCTGGATACGACAGGGCCGTTTTTCAACCGCTTCCGTGTTGCCGTCTTCATGCCAGTATAGCAAGTGTTTTCCCCGGTTGCGTCGCAGCTTGTTTTGTGGATCCGGTAATGGTTCCAGTCCAAGAACATGTGTTCTAATTGTGTTTAGGAGGACACGTTCCACCGTTTGCATGTTCCAGAACCAATTATTGAAAACGGCAAAGGTTGGCTTGTCGTTTCGGGGTCCCCTGAGAGAATGTCGCCATACTTCCGTTGATCACTGCCTCCCACCTCGTGCACAGGGGAGGAGGCGAGATGCCGGATGGAGGGTGGAGCCCCGCAGTGGGTCTGCAGAGGAGGGGGTCCAAGAAGCGATTCCATGGTCGGGCGGGGGCTACAGACATTGAGTTGAACCTCTTCCAGAGACCCTCCCTCTCACGTACAAGGACTCTTCCTCTTCCTCTCTCTCCCTCTCACCCACTTTCCTTGGTGCCTAGGCTGGCGCCTCGTCGCCACCGTCGGTGAAGGTCGGCTCGCTCTCTTGGGAAACTGAGGCGATAGAGAATGCCGTGAATCGAGTGGCCACAGGCCACGCGCAGAAGCATGAGGTTGTCCAGCAGGCCGTGCAGATCTTCCAGAAGAAGTTCCAGGATCGGGCGGCGTTGGGTTGCTCGGACCCCCTGGTGGTTCGCCACACTATCCTGACCCTTATCAGTGTACGCCACCTCTCTGCGTGCCCTCCACCATAATGCAGCTTCTGATGACTTGATGCGGCGACTGTGGCAGTCTCGAGGTTGCACTGATGCTAGCGTGGTGACATGAGGAGGAGGAGGAGGAGGAGGAGGAGGAGGAGGAGGAGAAGGAGGACGAGGAGGAGAAGCATGAGGTGGAGGGGGAGTCGCAGCGGCTCTGGCCTTGGCTTCCTGATCGTGGCTCTGGTCCTCGGGGACGTGGTTCCGCTTCCTCCCAGGCGATCGATCAGCCTGTCTGCGGAGGAGGATGAGGAGGACTACGACAACGAAGAGCAGATGTTGATGGGCCTGTTTCCCACCACCACCACCACCACCATAAGTTGGAGGGGGAAGGAGGTGGAGGACGAGCAGGAGGAGGACGAGGAGGAGGAGGAGGAGGAGGAGGAGGAGGGGGAGGTGAAGGAGGAGGAGGAGGAGGAGGAGGACCCCCTCCAACTTATGGTGGTGGTGGTGGTGGAAAACAGGCACACCAGATGCGGCAGAAGGATGCATTGCCCATTGCATTCCGCGACCCGGTCCCGGGAACTGTGTGTGTCTGCCACCGCGGCCTCTCTCTCTCTCTCTCGATGTTTCGAGCCCAGTGCTGGAGGCCGAGCTAGCGAAACACCGCTCGTCATGCTGTTTATTTTGCGATGCTTGGAAGTCTTGAGGGTGGGAGGAGGAGGATGAGGAGGAAGAGGCGTAGAAGCCCGTTGGCCACGTACTCTTCCACAGTGCGACGCTGAGGAGAGATAGAGAGAGAGAGAGGAGGAGGAGGAGGAGGAGGAGGAGGAGGAGGAGGAGGAGGAGGACGAATACTAATAATATTAATATTGCTTATAATAACCCGAATAATAATGATAGTAATAATAATATTAATACTAATAATAATAAGCACAATACGATGAGGAGGAGGAGGAGAACGAAGAGGAGGATGGATATGATGAGGAGGAGAACTCTACGATGCTACAGAGCGGGGGCTCAATGATTGGAAGCATGAGGAGGAGAATGAAGACGTGGACAGGGCGACTTCAAAGACTGGCCTCCAGCTCTTCAAGGGGCGCGCCGATCGCGTGCCCATGATGCTCGCCATGGCCTACACGAAGGCTGATAGTGCCGCCGCCGTCGCCGCGGCCACCTCCCGCTCTTTCCCTTCCACCTTCCCTCCCCGTCTGGCTCCTCCTTCCCCAATCCCCCTTGCCACGAGGAGCGCTGGAGGGGCAGGATGGAGTGAGGGATGGAGGGAGGGCGGGGAAGGAGGGGGGGGGGGGAAAGCGAGGAGGAGGAGGAGGATGAGGAGTGGGGGGACGAGGAGAAGGACTGGGGGGATGGAGAGCGGAAGAAGAAGGATGTGGCGCAGGCGGAATGGGAGCGCGAATGAGGGGTCGAGCACTCGCTGCCGGGTGAGCGACGAGCCAATTGGAGCACGACGGTCGGAGCCGCTTTTACAGCGGGTTCATCCTCACCTCCCTCACACGAAGCTGATGGGAAAGACATTGAAGAACACGTGAGACAGCAAAAGGCCACACTATCAGCCCGGCGACAGACCTATCCGTATGCAGTTGTGAGTGCCGCAAGGCAGGTCGGCCGAGGGAGGGGGAGCTCTCAATGGGGCCACGACACGTGTGAGGGGCGTGCCAGGAGCCAGCGAAAAGAGCGTGGTCGGGCCGAGCGAGATCATGAACTTCCACACGACTGCATACGAACTTCTTCACTTTGGCCTTCTGTGGAGCTCTAATGGGCTTGACAAGCATGACAGGGGCGAGCGAACTCAGCCCACGACTGCATGCGGACTGGTTCGTGTCGGTCTTCTGTGGAGCTCCTGTGGGATCTGAAAGGCGTGGCAGGGGCGAGCCAAATGAGCCCACGACTGGATGCGGACTTGTCCATTTTGGCCTTCAGTGGTCTTCCTATGGGGCCTGAGAAACGTGGCAGGGGGCAAGCGAAATGGGCCCACGACTGCACTGCAGCTTTTTTCATTTCGGCTATCTGTGGAGCTCTTATGGGGCTTGAAAAGCGCGGCCGGGGTGAGCGAATTGAGCCCACGACTGCATGCGAACTGTTTTATTTGGGCCTTGAAATGTGTGGCAGGGCCGATCGAAATGAGCCCTCGACTGCAGACTGACTTTGTCATTTCGGCCTCCTGTGGGGCTCCTATGGGGCTTGAAAAGCGTGGCAGGGGTGTGCCAGGGCAGAGGCAGGAGGGAGGAGGGGGATGAGAACCGGGAGTAGACGCGGGGCGTTGCTGAGTCAAAAGGAGGACCCAACACCTCAGGAGTTGTTTGCAAAAGAGGATAGGCGCTCGCAAGACACACGTGAGGCTTCAGGGGCCATCGGCAGAACAAACGATATACGTTCGCAAGGCACGCGTGTGGCCCACGAGGCCATCGACAAAACAATCGATTGACGTTAGCCCTTGGCGCAAATACGGGCCTGCAACCCCAGCGGAGGGGTGAACCACGGCGGGACCGGGATCCTCAGAAGAGGGGATGGGCCCGTTCCAACTTCCAAGCCCCCCAAACAGGGCTCAGTCCTTGGGGATGACCATCCGTGCATTTATATCCCTCCCATCTGGCGGCTTCGACCACCCCGTCAGCCTCCAACTGGCGGGCGGTGCCCTGGCTATCTGGGGCTCATTTTCAGGGCCCTGCTATGCAAGCATGGGAGCCGGAGGAGGACCCAGAATGGGGAGCAGCAGGAGGAGCTCGGAGGGAGAGGCAGGTGGACCCCCCTCTCGATGGCGCGAGCGAGGATCGAAAGGCGGTGCAGGGCAAGGCCGCGAACGTGCTCGCGCAGTGGGACTACGCCCAGAAGCACATGGCCGCGATCCAGTTAGAGCACCTCCTCGGGGCGCGGGGAGGCGTCTCGCTGCAGGAGCTCAGCCGCCCCGCCCCCGCGTCCTCGCAGTGACGGAAACGGGTGCTGCCGGAAAAGGTTCCGCAGCCATTGTGGGTCAAGGGCCCGAGGCGCTTCCTCAGCGAGGCCGTGCCCTGGACAGTGTCGGCACTGCTGAAGACGTCGGTGCGTTCTCGCAGGCCGGACCGCGGGGCGGCGTCTCGCTGCAGGGAGCCCGGCCGTGGCCACTCGAGTGGGAGGCGATCCGCTGCTCGCTCCCCGTCGCTCCCCTTCGCCTCGTCTCCACCATGAAGGGGGAAGGGGGCGGGTCCTGAGGGAAGCGGGTCCAGAGGCCTCTCGCAGTTGTTGGCTCCGTTGATGGGTTCCTGGGGCCATCAGGATCCGCGGAACGCAGGCCCTGGGGATGGCGTCGGGACCTCTGGGGCTGCGCACTGGAGACATCAGAAATTGATGGGCCTGTTTTCCACCACCACCGCCATAAGTTGGAGGGGGGAAGGAGGTGGAGGATCAGGAGGATGGGGAGGAGGAGGAGGAGGAAGAAAGGGAAAAGGAGGACCCCCTCCCCCTCCTACGTCTGGTGGTGGCGGTGGAAAACAAGCCCACCAGCAGTATCGCCCGATGTCTGAGGCTTGCCCCCGCCTGCCCCGTGCCCCGCCGCCTCTTGCAGCCCCCCTTTCCTCCATCCTCCTCCTCCTCCTCCATCCTCCATCCTCCTCCTCCTCCTCCTCCTCCTCCTCCTCCTCCTCCTCCTCCCCCTCCTCCTCCTCCTCCTCCTCCTCCTCCTCCTCCTGCTACCTTGTTTTGCTCGGAGCTGCGAGTTGCGTGCTCCTGGCGCGCGGGCTCGAGCGCACCGCCGGGGGGCCCGTCGGGGGCCGTCGTGCCCGGAGCGTGCTGGCCGGCAGCGGCAGGGGCGGGCGGCTGGCTCGGAGGGGGGGGGGGGGGAAAACTGTCGACTTGCAGTCGCCCAGTCCTGGCCGAGCGGGGCTTGGGCCCCCCCGCTCGTCATCCTCTCCCCCGCACCTTGCTCCGTCTCTCCCTGCCCAGCTCTCCTGTGGAGCCCCCTTCCCCCTCGTTCATCCTTCTCCTCCTGCTCGATACATACTCCTCCTTTTATCTTCATGCTGTTATTGCACATCCTCCTCCTCGGCCTCTCCTCCTCCTCCTCCTCCATCCCCTCCAGGGCCTCTCGCCAAGATGCTGACGATGTATCGTCGCTTCCAGATCAGCATTCCCTCCCCTGAGTTACGGTCGGGAAGTTTGGCTTAGCGTGTCGCGCCGCCGGTTCTGACCTACCACGCTTCGGCGCGACACGCTAACCGCTTCACAGTCCCCGAGCGTCAACATTCCGATCATTTCCCAGCCTCCCGCCCCCCGCGGAGCGGAGTGACACGGTGTCTGATTGCAGCGCATAGCGTGTCGCTGGGGCATCTGACGCGGCACGCTAGGAACAAGTTTTCCATCACCTCGGGGGCCTACCGCGGATCTACCGGCGATGTATCGTCGATTCCAGATCCAAGTTCCCCCCTCTGAGCTTTTGTCGTGTAGTCCTTGGGTCAGGATATCCCGGCCGCGGCGCCCGCTTTATTTCTCGGACCCAACAGATATCAGAGATATCCGATGTATCCCGATATGATGTCCCGGTCCTGGCTTCGTCCCATAGCTACACATTGTTCATTTTGGGGGCCAAGATCCTTTCATTTCTAATCGTTCTATCCTGGGCCTCTTCCTGGCCACTAGGGGGCCAGGAACAATTAGAAACGAGCACAATCAGAAATGAGCACGATTAGAAATGAACGACGTGTAGTCCTCCCCCGCCCTGCGGTTTCCCTTCCCTTCCCCCCCCCCTGTCTGTCGTTCTGGGCGGCGCGCGGGCGGCGGCCTTCTGAGAGAAGGCGGGGCGGCTTCTCGGCAGGCACAGGGCTTCGGAGAAGCCCTCCGGGCTTCCACGGAGCCCCCCTCAGAAGCCCTGGCATTGCTCGGACGTGTGCATTTTTTTTCGGCGAGAACCATCCAGGGCCATCCTGGACCATCGACCCAAAAAAAAAACGCACGGAACCGAAAATTGCACGGGAAATGGACGTCCGAGCGATGGCAAGAAGCCCCCAGGCGCTTCTGAGAAGGGCCCTGCCTCTAAAAGGAGATTGTTTTTTTAGGGTCCAGCGATAGCCCAGGTTATCGGGCTTGCCCCCCCCCCCCCCCCCAAGGATACCCTAACCTTGCCGGTTGTGCAGGTCCGGGGTGGAGGTGTGTGGGCATATGCAGGGCTGCCCAGAGCGCGAAGGTTAGGTTATCGACCGGATCCCTTCCCCTCCCCGCGGGATAACTCGGGTTATCGCCGATTTTTCAAAAACGGTCTCAAGACGCCCCTACTGCCGTCTCAGAAGCCCACCCGCTCGCGTCACCCCAGGCATCCGGCGCTCCATGGACCCAAAGGTCTGGACAACCTCCCTGTTATGGGGCTGGCTTGCCATCCCGAGTCATTGTTTGACGGCCCCTGGGCCCCCGTGCCTCTTGACGGCGGCCGTAGCCAAAAACCGGCCGCTCCAATCTGTCCGGAGCCTCGGATCTCTGGGGGCCCCTGGGCGCCGCCAACTTCCCATCATCGGAGGGCACGGCGGCAGCGCGCGCAGGGCGGCGCCATGGCGGCGCCGCGCGCAAGCCACCGCGTGGAGTGCGAGAAGGGGCTGGACCGCGTGGCCTCCAAGGCGCGACCGTCTTGCGTCCGAGGATCGTAGCCCGGGCTTCTGAGGCGGCCGAGAAACTCACACACACACACACACACACCAGCACGAAAGATCCAGGAGCACCTTCCCTCGGTGGAGGCAGCCCCTCGTGATGTTGTTGCCAGCTGGGGCGATCCTGGGTCCGGGGCCGGCCTGGGCGCGACGACATAGGCGTGCGTGTGTGCGTGTGTGCGAACATCAGATTTTGTCTACCAATCTGCATGGCCGTGGCTGGACTATTTCATCACGGCGCGGTCGACCGAGTTCGTTCGCAATTGGCACCTCCACCTGCCGACCGCGCCTCACGCTCCTTTGCGCCGCCGCAGGCCTTCGGGAGGGCCTTCGCCGCCACGGCTGGACGCAGCTCGGACAACTTGCGCGTTTGGATGGGTCCGAGGATCGATTCTGAGCTGCCGTTGCCGATGGACCCGGGGCCCTTCACATACCGATGCGGCTCGGAAAATGACGCAGGAAGGCGGGGTCTGGGCCTTTGGTCGTGATTTTTGACGGTGTTGCAATGTTGTCGAGGCGTCGGATCGCAGGGCCCGATGTCTTGAACCGCAAAATCGAGACAGTGTTTCTTTTGTGCTTTCTGCCCCTGGGGCCCCCTGCGGGGCCCCGTGGGGCCGTAGATCAGAAGACGGCTCGGGATCGGGTTCAGGGCCGGGATTTCTGGGCCCCTCTTTGATGAACGAATCAAGACATCGTATGTGTGGGTCCGTTCGGGGGAGGACAAGTCTACAGATGCACTCCGTCCCCCCCAGAATCTTTATGGAGGTGGATCAATGGAGAGGATACGTGTTGCCAAATAGTTTCCACATGTCTGAACCACGTGGGCAAGTTTGCGCGCCTTCTGTTCTCGCAGACGCTACAATCTCAGGATTATAAAGCCCGCTCATGGGGGAACCAACATGTACTGGTACCGCTACTCCCCGTATCTCTCCCGGGGTGCGTTCTGACCAGAATTTCGAAGCGAGTCCAGCGGTGGCGACGAGGGCCTCCCAGGAGGCCCAAAAAGGGTAAAACTACGGAAAGGTACGCGCCGGTCGTTGAAAGTATGTATTATTTGGATTCCCTGTTCCCAATATACTTCAAGTTCCTCCCTACTTCAAGAATCGGCATGCTTCTGCTGTGTTTTGCTATTCTCTGGGAGGACCTGGACCCAATCCACTATATCCGCCTTCCTACTTCCTGTTTCTACCTAGTTCTTCCAACCGACGTGTAGTCAAGGGAGGAAAAACCACCCGGACCGGAAAACCGGCGTTTACTAGACGGCCCTGGGCGTTTATTAAACAGCCCTGCCCTGTTCGATTCCTTCTCTGGGTGCGCTTACTAGACGCATTTGCCTGTCGGGTTGCTTATTGAATCGCTTCGCTCATTCCGCCGGCCCGTGATATGGCATCGCTGGTTTTTGTCTGTGTGTTCGTTGCCCATGTTGCGCTCTTGGGGGCGGGTGTCGTTCGGACGCGTTGCGTGGGGAGTTTTGATGGTGAAGCAGTTCCCTGGGGGTCGTCTCTCGATGGGGCGAAATAGAGTCGTCGTCAAGATGCTTCTTTGGGGGGCCTCTTGGGGTCTGTTGAGAGGCCGTTCGGGGGCGCCTGGGAGACATGTTTGAAGCCTTCTGGGGCTTCTTTTGGGCCTCCTGGGAGTCTCCTGGGGCCTCTTGGCGACATCTTGGGGCCTCTTGGAGGCCTCTTGGGGCCTCTTTGGGACCTCCTGGGCGCCTTCTGGGACGGAGGGCTCCATTTTTGAGTTCTCGGTATCCCTCCTGAGTCCCTCTTGGGCCCGTCTTGGGGCCTCTTGGTCCGTCTTGGGCGGCACTTGGGCCGTCTTGAGGGCTCTCTTGGGTCGTTTCGGCGCCGTCTTGGGAGCTTCGTGGGCCGTCTTGGAGCGGTCTTGGGGGCCTCTTGGGCCGTCTTGGAGCGTCCGGAAGCCGAAAAAGCCAGAACACAAAAAACATCGAAAAAACAAATGAAAATCAACGATTTTGGCCTCTTGGGGCTCTCTTCGGAGGCCTCTTGGAAGGCTCTTGGGGCGTCTTGGAGGCCTCTTGGGCTGTCTTGGGGGCCTTTTGGGCCGTCTTGGGGTCATCTTCGGCGTCTTCGAGCGCTCTTTGGGCGTCTCGGGGGCCTCTTGGGCAGTCTTGGGGGCCTCTTGGGGCACTCTGAGCGCGCTCTGGGGAGCCTGAGAGGCCGCACCCAGAAGGAAAACCATCTCTGAGTAGACTTGGTCGGGCGGCGGTCGGGCGGCGGTCGGGCGTTGGTCGGGGTACTTTTCGCCGGGGGACCCCCAGGGGCCGCCCCGCGCGCGCGAACTAGAAATACTGTTAATACTGTTAACCAGTTACCGGAGATCTTAGCACGCCCTGGCCCGTTGGGCCGGCGAATTATGAGGGTGGTTGTTCTGCTCCCGATGTAGGGGTATGGGCACCTTTTCCTCCCCCGAGCTCAACGTCAAAGAGGAAGGGCGCAGGGCACCCGTGAGAACCCCCTGGGGCTGTGAGTTGCACAGCCTCGCACCGTCGGGCGACCAGGCTCCTCGGAGGGCGGGCCCCGCTCTGCCCCCCCGCCCGCGGCGCGGCCGAAAGGCGCCCGACGCGGAGATCCTCGTCCCGGAGCTGGCCGACGAGGACGGGATGAGGACGAGAGGAGGAGGAGGGAGGGAGGGAGGGAGGGAGGAGGAGGAGGAGGAGGAATAAGAGGAGGAGGAGGAGAAGGGAGGAGGGAGGTGGAGGAGAGAAGGTGGAGGAGGGAGGGAGGGAGGGAGGGAGGGAGGGGGAGCGAGGGAGGAGGAGGAGGAGGAGGAGTAGGAGTAGGAGGAGAAGGAGGAGGAGGAGGAGGAGGAGAAGGAGGAGGAGGAGTGGGAGTGAACAAGAGCTGGTGCAACGGATGGTGCACCAGCGCGCGTTTCGGAGGGCATGGGCCTTGCCGATTCGGCTGCAACGGGGGCCAGGACAGCATCTCTCACATGGCCTTCTGCCCAGTTATGCGGAGTTTTATCGATGATCTTCTATCAGTCGGCGGGCTGGCTTTGGACAATTTCTTGAACATCGGAGGTCCTCGTCGCAGCGACGACGTGACGCAGCGCTGGGCTGTCGCGGTCTACGCCCTGTACCGCACCCACAATGCTCGTTGCAATTCCCGCCTTGAGGCCGCTGACGTCGAGGGAGCATTCCGACAGCATCTCCGTGAGGACCGTCGCGGCACAGGAAATAATTCGCAATCTTAGGAGGGCGCGATCACATTCAGTTTACCGCTGCAGTCTCCGCGATTAGCGTTTCTCGAGGGGGGTCTGGGGCCTCAGAAGCTGCCACCAGTGCCCCCTCGTTCCCATGTTTGCCCTCGTCCTCTCCCTCCTCCTCTCCTTCCTCCTCCTCGGCCAGCGGTCTGCATCACGGAATTCCGCTTCTCTTTGAGGGGGAACTTGCAGCATTCACTCTAAAGCCAGCCGCTCCTCTCAGGGTGGCGCCTTCGTTTGCATGCGCACCTCTGCAGTGATAGTTTGTCGTTTGGGTGATGCTCTTCGCCATTGGCTTGCTCGCCAACTTCCTGTTCGGCGCCAGGCATAGGGCTGCTGGCATGCATTGCGGCCAGTTTGCGCCCCTCTCCACATACTGCCTCCCTCGCTGCTCCACCGAATGTTCTCGCGAGGGCTCTGTGCGCCAGCCACCTACCCATGTCGGCATACGTACCCGTGAGTTTTGTGTGTGTGTGTGTATGTGTGTGTGTGTGCGTGTGTGTGTGTGTGTGTGTGTGTGTGTGTGTGTGTGTGTGTGTGTGTGTGTGTGTCTGCCTCTCCTCTCCTACGGGGCCGCTGTATGTAGTTGTTGTTGCTTTCGTTGCCCACTCGCGTGCACGAGGTGGGAGGCTGCATCGGCCGCCAAGGCGCCTAAAACTATCCACATGTTGTTGGCGCCATGTTGTGCGATGTCGTGCAGTCTCTCCCCACGCCTTGCGGGGCGATCTCCTATCTATGTTTTCCTTGTGCGCTGAAAAAGTACACGACGGTTCATCCTGCCGAAGTCGGTGCAATTTGAAGGGGGAGGACGTGGAGGAGGAGGACGACGAGGAGGAGGTAGACGACGAGTAAGACGAGGACGACTACGACTACGGCGACCGACGTCTGGCTGGCGAGGATAACGGGCGACGACCGATGACCAGCGACGGACCGTCGACGCCCGACGCAGAAGACAGCGGTTGATGACCAGCGTCTGATGACCAGCGTCCGACCACCGACGTCTTCGACGACCGTCGACACCGACGTCAGTCGACCGACGACGGACGGCGGCTGCGACGACGACGACGACGACGGCGACGGCGACGGACGACCAACCACCGCAAATTCACGACCGATGGGCGAAAACAGACGACGCCCGACCGACCGACCGACCGACCGACCGAGCCGCGAGGGAGCAGGCGAGATGAGGGAGTGGGAGGAAAGACGGGAGCGGAGGAAGGAGTGGAGGAGGCAGGGGAGGGGAGGAGCACGATAAGGACGATGGGGGAGGGGAAGCCCTCGGGGCATTCTGCGAGGGTCTAAGCTGTTCGACGGGTAGGACCTTGCTGCTCTTGCTGCTGCTCCTCCTCCTCCTTCTCCTCGTCATCCTCGTCCTCCTCCTCCTCCTCCTCCTCCTCCTCCTCCTCCTCCTCTTCCTGCTCATTACGTAGCACCCCGCAATTGCGGGTAAGAGTGAGGGGGCGGGCGCGGGCGACGCGGGCGTCGAGCAGGCGGACCTCGTGGCCCTCACCTTCCTTGTTGATGGCGCCCTTCTCCTCCTCCTCCTCCTCCTCCTCCTCCTCCTCTTCCTCCTCCTCCTCCTCCTCCTCCTCCTCCTCTTCCTCCTTTTCCTCCTTTTCCTCCTCCTCGTCCTCCTCCTCCTCCTCCTCCTTTTCCTCTTCCGTTTGGAACGGGTGCACAAGAAACGTTCCGCAGGCGCCGAAGTTTTGGCTTGTTCAGTAAACGTAGTGTGGGTCGCGGGTGGGTCGCGGGCTCTCCACATCCACTTGGAAGGAATTCAAAAACAGTCCGCAGCAGGCGCCGAAAATTTTGATTGTACACTGAACGCGGTTTGGGTCGCAGGTTCTCCACACGGAATTAATGCAAAGGAAACCCGCCGCAGGCGCCGAAGTTTTGGTTTGTTCAGTGAACGTAGTGTGGGTCGCGGGTGGGTCGCGGGCTCTCCACCGTCACCTGGAAGGAATTCAAAAACAGTCCGCCGCAGGCGCCGAAAATTTTGATTTGTACACTGAATGCGGTTTGGGTCGCGGGTGGGTCGCAGGGTGGGTCGCGGGGTGGGTCGCGGGTGGGTCGCGGGTGGGTCGCGGTGGGTCGCGGGTGGGTCGTACGTGGGTCGCGGGTGGGTCGCGAGGTGGGTCGCGGGTGAATCGCGGGTGGGTCGCCATTGGGTCGCGGGTGGGTCGCCGGGTGGGTCTCGGGGTGGGTCGCGGGCGGGTCGCGGGGTGGGTCGCGTCGCGGGTGGGTCGCGGGTGGGTCACGGGGTGGGAGCGGGTGGGTCGCGGGGTGGGTCGCGGGTGGGTCGCGGGGTGGGTCGCGGGGTGGGTTGCGGGTGGGTCGCGGGGCGGGTCGCGGGTTGGACGACGACGACAACAATCAACAAACAACAAACAAACAAACAACAATCAACAAAAGCAACAACAACAACAACACCAACACCAACAACAACACGAATCCGCATCGCGGAGTTCCACTTCAGCCACGCACCCAGGGACAGTGAATGACCGTTCGATTCAGCCCCCCCTCACTCCTGATCATCATCAGCATCATCATCAACATCATCATCAGCAGCATCAGCATCAGCATGCGCATCATCATCATCATCATCATCATCAGCATCAGCATCAGCATCAGCATCAGCATCATCAGCATCATCAGCATCGGCATCATCATCACCACCAGTATCATCATCATCATCATCATCATCGTACTCACCATCAGCAGCATCATCATGAGCACAGTCATCATCAGCATCACCATTATCATGGTGACTATCATCATCACCATCAACGTTGTCAGGATCATCATTATCAGCGTCATATGTATGATTATCAGAATCAACAGCATCATCATCCGTCCCGTCTTCATCATCAGCATAATCATCCTCACCATCATCATCATGATCAGCATCACCATAAGCATAATCATAAGTATGTTCATTAACATCATAAGCATCATCATCATCATCCTCACCATCACCATCATCACCATGTCCATCATCATCATCAACATCATCATCATCACCATCATCATCCCCATCATCATCATCATCATCATCATCATCATCATCATCATCATCATCATCATCATCATCATCATCATCATCATCGTCACTGGCGTGCTTCCATGCCCGAGCGTGGCCGTGCTGGGCAACTTCAGCCCCGTCGCCCTGGTGGGCGTCGTGGTGCTGCTCGCACAGATCAGTGCCCGCGGGCGCGTGCTCGACAGACACGTCTGGTGCTCGCAGGCAGCGGAGGAGGAGGAGCATGAGGAGGAGGAGGAGGAAGAGGAGGAGGAGGAGGAGGAAGAGGAGGAGGAGGGCGAAAAATGGAGGAGGATGGGAGGATGAGGGGGAGGGAGGAGGGCGAAAAAGGCGGGGGAGGATGAGGGAGAGGGAGAGCGGGAGAGGAGATGAAGAGGAGGAGGAGCAAGAAGAGGAGGAGGAGGAGGAGGAGGAGGAAATGGAGGAGGAGGAGGAGGAAATGGAGGAGGAGGAGGAGGAGGAAATGGAGGAGAAGAATGATAAGGATGAGGAGGAGGAGCAGCAGCAACTGGACTGCGACGACGACGACGGCGGTGGTCGCGGTGGCGTTGGCGTCAGGACAGCCCCGATGGCTGGCGGGTCATGGGCCCCTCCCGCGTGCGCGTGACCGCGCCAGTGCGGCAGTTCCTCGAGCACGCCCTGTACGACCTCACTCACGGCATCCCCCCAGCGTTGTCGTTGTTGCCCCCCCGTGCCCCGCGGACCCCCTGAGGCTCTCGGAGGCCATCCAGAGGGCCCTGGGGGGCCACCGACGGCCTCCGACGGCCATCGGGGGGCCTCCAGGCCTCCAGACTGGCAGCCCAGGACGCCCAGTGCCTAGCCACCTCGAGTGGGGTTCTGAGGATTGCTGGTCCTCGGGGGATCGTCGGCGGGCCCGACGCCGTTCGGAGGTCGTCTGGGTTTCGGTTCGGAGCTCGAGTCCCCGGCGGCCCGGAACGCTCTCGACGAGGCGCAAGCTGTTGGAAAGGACCCCGAGGCTGGACAACCTTCGAGGCCGAAAAACGCCGGGATTGAACAAATCATATCGACAACAGCTGCTGGAGCTTCGTGCAAAGTTCTACGCCCTCGGTGGGTTTGGAGCCGCTTTCGGCCTGCGAGGTCCCCCCGCTGGACCCCGGGACCGTCAAACAACGGCCCAGGACGAAACATTGGCTTTGTGGAAGTCGATTAATGGAGAGGAAGCATGCTGCCAAATAATTTCCAGATGTCCAGAACATGTGTTAAAAGTGTTTTAAACATGTCAAACACAGGTTGGAAACATGTTCAGGACATTTTCCGATATTTTACACACATCTTCAATTCGACGATAGGACTGGTAGGGTGCCCATCGTCGTGGCATCCACAACACTGGCTGTGGGGGCACGGAGATGGCGTCGACGACGACGATGACGACGCTGACGACGACGACGGCTGCAGCAGCTGCGCCTCGGCGAGGCTCTGCCGTGACGGCCTCGCCCCTCGCGGCCCAGGCCCGCGGCGCCCCGACACCAGCGTGAAGTCGGGCCTGTCCCTCTACAGGAGGAAGATTTGAAAATAGTCGAACAATTGGCAGGGGACCATTTTTTGGCCATGTTTGAACATCGGTTTTTTCCATACATATATATATATATATATACATAGTCGAAAATCGCCCTGTAAGGGGACACGCCCGACCTAACCCTACTTGTTGCTGGGCCCCCTTGGGCCCTGGGCCGCCTGGCTCCGCAGAGAGCTGCCCGCGGCTCGGTCGACGAAGAAGCACCGGCATCGGCACGAGCATTCTCGCAAAGCGCGGTTCGCTACTCGCAAAGTGCCTATTCGCAAGCGTCCGGAAAGCCATACGTCTGCCTTGGTGTAATACGTAGCACCCCGCAGATGCGGATAAGAGTGAGGGGGCGGGGGGGGACGTCGGCAGTTTGCGAGACTCTGGAGAAGCCCGCCGCAGGCGCCAAAGTTTCACAATTTATACGATGAGCCCACCGCAAGCGCCAGTTATTTCGTTATACCAATGTGGGTAGGTCGCGGGTGGGTCGCAAATGGGTCGCGGGTGGGTCGCAAATGGGTCGCGGGTGGGTCGCGGGTGTAGAGGGCAGAAATCCCCCCAGCACAATCACCCCGACAAGCGAAGCCGTTTAGTAAACGCACACAAGGAATGAATCGAACAGGGCAGGGCTGTTTAGTCAACGCCCAGGGCCGTTGTAGTAAACGTCAATTGTCGGGTCCGGTTGTTTTTTCCTCCCTTGAGGGTGGATCGCGGGGTGGCTCGCGGGGTGGGTCCCGGGTGGGTCGTGGGTGGGTCGCGGATGAGTCGCGGGGTGGGTCGCGGGCGGGTCGCGGGGTGGGTCGCGGGGTGGGTCGGGGGGTGGGTCGCGGGGTGGGTCGCGGGGTGGGTCGCGGATGGGTCGCGGGTGGGACGACGACCACAACAAACAACAACAACAACAACAACAACAACAACAACAACAACAACAACAACAACAACAATCATTTTACCCGAACGCTCAGTGTTCTCCCCAGTGCCAGGGTTTTCTTGCGACACCAGCCAATACCCCCACTTCGCGGGGGGGCCGTTCAAGCTCTACCAAATATCCAAACGACTCTTCGAGACCACCCACACCCAGCTTCCCGCCCTATGACGTTGGGACACTTCACTTCGTGGCGTGCGGACGACCCTGGCTACTACACTGGCGTGGGGTACACACCCACAGAGGTTGATCACATCTTGAAGTCCTCTTGGGACCATCTTGGGGGCCTCTTTGGGCCTCATGGACGCCTCTTGGGGCCATCTTGCGCGCCTGTTGGGGCCATCTTGGGTTTTAAAGATTCATCAAGAGACCGCGAATGGATTTCGAGTTTTTTCGGATGAGAAAGTAGTGCGTTTTCATATGTTTTCTGAACATCGCATCTTGAAATTATTGAAAACCCATTGTGTTTGGCAGGATTTCGACATGCGCGCGCGGCGGCCGCGCGCATGTGCACTTCGTCTCATTTTTTGCAAGGGATGGTGGCCCTCGCAGGCGCGCAACCGTTGTTGGAGAAGTTCAAAGCACCTGAAGAAGTAGCACGCAAAGACCCTTTTGACAGAAATGTTTAAAAAGTGGTGTGTTTCCTATGAATCCGCAAGAGCGCGCGGAAGGACATTTTGACAATTTTTTCTTAAAAAACCATTGGGTTTTTGATGTTTTTATGTTAAAATCGCTACGAAACCTAAGGTTTTGGAAGGATTTCGTCTTGCGCGCACGAATGTCCACTTTACCTTATTTTTTGCAAGGGATTCTTGCAATTTGATCAAGTAAAAACAAGAATTTTCATTTTCTATTGTTTTTTGCAAGGGAAAACGAGCGTCAACAAAAAACCGGATCCGGAGCTCATCCACTTTTCTGAAGCTTTCGCGAAAAAATGATGAAAATGTAGCTGCGGCCTAGGCGCGGCGCAGAGGTCGCGCACCAGGGGTCCCAACAATAATAATTCTTTAGAAGGAATAATGTTCAACAACAAACAACAACAACAACAACAAACAACAACAACAACAACAACAACAACAACAAACAACAAACAACAACAATTACTAGCACGTGGGGACACTCCGTTCTCACCAGTGCCAGGGTTTTCATAGGAGGCGGGCAATACCCCCACTTTGTGGGGGGGCCGGTTCAAGCTCTACCAAATTTCCAAACGACTCTTCGCCACCACCCACACCCAGCTTCCCGCCCTATGACGTTCGGACACTTCACTTCGTGGCATGCGGACGACCGTGGCTACTATTCAGGGCCCCGCGGCCGACGACGACGGCGTGCGCGCGCGAAGAAAAAACGAATGTGTCCCGCATGGTATTATTTGACAGGGATGATGGCCCTGGCAGGTGCGCAACCGTTGTCGCAGAAGTTCGAAAAAGTTGCTCGCAAAAGCCCGTTTGACAGAAATGTTTAAAAAGTGTTGGGTTTCCTACGAATCCGCAAGAGCGCGCGGGATGAGATTTTGACAATTTTTTTGTTGAAAAACCATTGGTTTTTTGATGTTTTTATGTTAAAATCGCTGCGAACACTAAGGTTTTGGAAGGATTTCGTCTTGCGCGCGCGAATGTCCACTTTACCTTATTTTTTGCAAGGGATTCTTGAAATTTGATTATATTAGAACAAGAAATGTCATTTTCTATTGTTTTTTGCAAGGGAAAGCGGATTACAACAAAACAACCGGATCCTGTACACACCCTCTTTTCTGAGGCTTCCTCACGAAAATGATGAAAATGTAGCTGCGGCCTAGGCGGCGCAGGGGGGGCGCGCACCAGGGGGCCCAACAATAATTATTCTTTAGAATAAATAATGTTCAACAACAACATCAACAAAAACAACAACATCAAAAACAACAAAAAACAACAGCAACAACAACAACGACGGCAACAACAACAAACGCAACAACCACAACAACACCAACAACAACAGCAGCAACAACAACAACAACGCCAACGCAACAAGCAGAGGTCTCACCACGAACTCCTTATTCAGCCACGCACCCAGGGACAATGAATGACCGTTCAGCCGCCTCACTCTGATATTGTGAATCCCCTGCGGCGGATCCAGGCAATTTGCGAGTAGCTACTCTGCGATTCGTGGAACGCGCTCTTCTACATGCTTAGTTCCGTGCGGATTGATTGGACCGGTGTTGGGCCCGACTCTGATACGAAAAAGTGTAAGACGGCATGCGGCGTAGACAAATTTTCAGAGTTCCGCGCGAATTCCATGGATCGGTGCTGGGGCCCCCCTGGCGGCGCCTCCAGCACCGCCCCTGGCGCGTTCAGCGCGCCCTTACGCCGTTTTCGTTGCTCCTCTAACAGAGCTGTGCGCGGCGCGAAGTCAGCGCAAGAAGGGGTAAACCTTGTCAGAGCCCCACGTGGTGTGCATAAGGGGAGCCGGAGGAGGGGGGTGTCCCCGGAGGGCCTTGCATTTTTTTCAAAACGGTTGTTTTCGCCCAGTTTCGGGCTTCGAGGCCATCAAAGTCCATCGGGCTCGAAAAATTACGCAGGAAGGTAGGGTCCAGTGCTCCGCTCGTGATTTTTCACGGTGTTGCGATTTTTCCGCAACGTCGGATCTCAGGACTTTTGGGGTAACTATTTTCAGAGACCCGCGTGTCGAACATGTGGGGACGCGGGATGTCCCCATGTAACTAGAGGCCAAACGCCCCCCAGTCGAAATATATCGAGGATTCGGTAGCCAGTGCCTGTTACTGCTGATCGTGCCGTCTCCAATGCAGTCACCAGGGCGGATACTGGAGTCTCCTGGTTCCCGGGCTTGCTGCCAGCCGCTGGGGAGCCTCAACGACAACGCGGGGCATCCCGGAAGAGTACCGGAATCTGCCCGCGGTGGAGGAGCAGCGGGCGTCGAAATGGGGAAGGGAGAGAGAGAGAGAGAGAGAAAGAGAGAGGGAACGGAACTAGAAGGAGAGGGAGAGACATAGTTAATGAGAGAGGGAGAGATAAACGCAAGTGCGAGGAGTTGAACAGCAGCCAAGGAGGAGGAAGTAGAAAGGAGGAGAGGGAGGATTCGGGATGACGGTGGGCAGAACAGTGAGGGGGGTGAGAGGAATGGGAAAAATCGCCTGGGAAGGATTAGGCACGAGGAGCAGGAAGGAGAGTGGAGAAGTTGGAGGGGGGAGAAGAGGCCCGATGCACATGGAAGAGGGAGGAGAGCGGAGAAGAAGGTGAAGGCGAGAGGAGAATGAGGAGGGAGGAGGAAGAGGAGGTGGAGGAGGAGGCGGCGCGATGAGGGAGGACAACGGTTGAGGAAGAGGATGCCCGAGGAGGAGTGAGGAGGAGTGAGGAGGAGTGAGGAGGATGAGGAGGACAGGGCGGACGAGTAGGAGAGGAGTGCGAAGAATGAAGATGAGGGAGAGGATGAGCGAGGAGGAGGAGGACCCTCAAGGACAAGGATGAGGACGGATGCTGAGGGTGGAGAATGACAAGTGTGACATTGCTTCCTCTCGGATGAGAAGAAAACGGAGAGAAGCAGAGCGAGGAAAAGGAAGGGTCGAGGAGCGAGGAGTGAGAATGAGGCGAAGTAGGGCGAGGAGGACGTAGGACTGGCGAGGGGCAGATGAAGGATCATGTGGGCGAGGGGGTGCAGGGGAAGACGCCCGGCGAGTGCCGGGGCTTAATCAGGCTTGGGCATCCTGGCTTCGTCCTCCGCCCGGCAGTCCTACTGAAGAGGTCGCGCCCGCGGACCCACATTCGATTTGCAAGGGTCCAACCAACCAACGAAACAACCAACCATGTTTCCTCATCCCTGTACGTTGTCAAGCCTGTACGACATCCCCCCCCACCTCCCACTCTCCCCATCCCCTCCCGCTCCTCCTCCTCCTCCTCCTCCTCCTCCTCCTCATCATCATCATCATCATCCTCCATCTCGCGCTCCTCCTCCTCCTCCACCTCCTCCTCCTCCTCCTCATCATCATCATCATCATCATCATCATTATCATCATGATCACCATCATCATCATCATCATCATCATCATCATCATCATCATCATCATCATCATCATCATCATCATCATCATCATCATCATCATCATCATCATTATCCTCCCTGTTTTGCCCCGTCGAGCCTCTGCGCCGAGGGCGTCCCCTCCCCGCCCCCTCGAGGAGCAGCGGGCGTCGCTGAGGGGACTGCTCGACGGGAGCAGGTCGACGCTGCTGGTCGTCGTCGTCGTCGTCGCCGTCGTCGTCGTCGTCGTCGCCGGGTCCTCGACAGCTGCTGGCCTGTCGTCGCCGCCGCCCGAGACCCTGGACTCCACGGTGGTGTTTCCGTCACGTGGCCCCCCTGGAGCTCGTGATCCCCTTCCACGGCCTCTCCATCCCGGGCCTTTCCCTCCATTGGCTGAGAACCTGGGAGCCATTGGCAGCCTCTCTTTTCTGCGGCAGGCAGCTGTACACCACCGCACCTGACCACGGCCTGAGTGCGCTGGGGAAGCTATAGATCATGATGCCGCATCACCACGCGAAGGCCAAGGATGACCTTGGCCTAGCATGGTGGTGGTGTGCCAGGAAACTGGGCGCGTATGAGCCCGCCAGCCTGGGCGAGAGCTGGATACACTTTTTACAATCGCGAAGAAGGCCTGCGGCACGAAGAGGGGGACGAGGGAGGAGGGAGAGGGAGGGCGAGGGGAGGGGAGGGAGGGAGGGGGAGGGAGAGGAGGGAGGGGGGGGGAGGAGGGGGAGGGAGGGGAGGAGGGGGAGGGAGGAGGGGGAGGGGGCGAGAGCTGAGTGCACATGGGCCAGATGTCTCTCCAGCACTCGGCCCGTCCGTGGCCCTGCGGGCGGGGCATGCGCGCGTGTGTCCAGCGCCTGGCCTCCCGATGTTCTACACGTGGACCCGCCATGTGTTCTCCCAGACCTCCGACGAGGTGAGTCAATCCGCAGCCCAAGAGATCCCGCCTCATCCCCCAAGGATCTGTGTTCGCCGTCGATCCTTGTTTGTGCTTGACGGTCCTCGATGTTCAACACGTTGGTCCGCCACGCGTGTTCCCATACATCCGTCGATGTGTTTCTATCCGCTGCCCAAGATATCTCGACCCATCCCCTGACGAACTGTCGTTCGCCCCTGATCCATGCTTGATGGTACTGGGGCCCGAGAACCGAAAACGGGTCCCAGAGGCCGAATTGACGTTAGCAATCTAGGATTGAACCAGCACCATGAACAGCAGTTTAAACCCCATCATTGAAAAGGTTCTTGCGGCAGAGGACCTACCAGCAGCCCTACAGTGTTACACGATGGGGGACCGCGATGAGGGCGTCTACGATGGGCCATCCCGAGTCTGGGCGCCCGGTCTCCCTCACTGGTCGTTCGAAGGCGTCGTGAAGAACCCTCACAGACAAGTTGCGAGGGGAATATGTATGGACGTAAATCCGCCATGCTCGGCGGTCTGGAGGGAATTAATCGACCGCGCAGATCGCCCAGTCATCGCCGAGATGGGCCTGATGGGCCACCCCCTCAGAAACGCACAGCTTCGCCACCCAGGGCCTGTTGCTTATGTAACGGCGATGTTTCGCCGATTCAGGGGCGATGCCCCCCTAAGCCAGACCCCCCCATAAACGACGGGGAAGAAGAGGCATATACAAAAACGCAAACTGTTGGAGCTCCGCGCGGATCTCTTGGATCTGCGCTGGACACCCTGGGCGCATTCCGCGCGCCAGGAAAGGGCCCAGCGCCAATCCTCGAACTCCGCGCGGAGCTCCAAAAGCTTCTGTTTGTGCAGATGTGGTTTCTCCAGTGCAGTAGCCACGTCAAAGAAGCAGCCGGCCCGTCCGCAAGTGCCCCAAGGAATGTTGCTTTCTCACGATGGCCCCAGGGACCCAACGAAGCCCAAGGGCACCCAGGACCCTCGCAGGCCGACGAAGCATGCGCTCCAAGATTGCTGCTAGCACGAGTTCTTATCGCCTGCGTCCGCTGCATCAGGAGCGCCTCCCTTGGCACCCTGGCCCGGGGCCTCCTGCGCCGCTCCCAGAGCTGCTACTCCGCGCGCCTCCGCCCCGGAGCTGTGGCCGCCACGCCGGCGTGAAGCCCCTCCACGTCCTGCGCGCCCCGCCTGCCCGCAGCCCCGCCACGGGGAGCTGGGGCCCCACGGTGGCGCCTCCGGCGCCGCCCCTGGCGCGCTCCGCGCGCCATGGAGGGGGGTCCAGCGCCGATCCGAGAGATCCGCGCGGACCTCCGAGTTTTTATGTTTATGTCAATGTGTGTTTCCCTATGAGCTCCCCTCAAGGTCCCGAGCGCCCCTCAACGTCCTGAGCTCCCCGCCTGCGCACCGTGCTTTGAGCGCCCCTCAGCGTTCGGAGCTCCCCTCTCCGCGGCCCCCCTCGCCCTCGGCCCCCCTCTCCCGCGGTGTTGGCTCCTGCCCTGGTGCATCCCCGACCTCGGCCCGTGGCCCTCGCGCGCCCTCTTCGACCGCCTGGCCGGCCGAGGCGTGAGTGACCAGCTGTGGCCCAGGCCTCCCAGATGGGGTCGTACGTAGTTCGGGGGCGGAAAAGCAGGGGGTGATGACTAGGGGGGGGGGTAGGTATCATGGCGTGGGCCATGATACTTCCCCAGATTTCATGGCGCCTCTTCTTGTTTCGTTACGTCCCTGGCCCCCCCGCTGGGCCGCGCACATGCCGCTGGTCATGATTTGCACCCCCTCTCTGGGACACCCCCCTCTTGGCCGCTCCCGAGTAGTAGATGGGGACGGAGGGTCGCGCCGCGTCGCCGATGCAGCTCGATGTGCAGCCCGGGTTGCACGTCGACGTCGCCGATGCATCGCCGACGTCGACGGCGCATCGCCGGTGCATCGCCGACACATCGCCGATGCATCGCCGAAGTATCAGTGATGCGGCGCGATCCTCCGACCCCATCTGCTCCGACCCCATGGTGGGGGCCTCTGTATCGGGGACAGGGGTGAGAGCACGGCCAATTGCACGTCAGCGCGCTGGTTTCACAAGGGATCCTGGCCGTCTGGGCCAAAAGTTTGGCCCGCGTTGGGTCGAGAGCACGCTTCAGTAATATCTGGAGAGGGGTTCTCGGGCGAAAGGGCTGCCGGTCTGGGCTGCGGCTCCCCGTCCCCCCTGCGGGACTCCTCTGTGGCCTTGGTCTTCTATTGAAGCCCGGCCGGACGGTGTTGGGAAAAAAGTGCATCCGCTGCGGTCAGCAGGAGGGCCACCTCTGACCGATGGAGGGCCGCGGTTGGGCGCGTGCCTCGCCGTCGGCCTCGCCAGCGGCGCGCCCTGCGGCTCGCCCGCCTCCAACCCCCTCCCTCCTCTATTATCATCGTCCCTGCCCTCCCCCCTCCGTCTTGGACAAACTTTGTTGGCGAGGCCGTAGCATCGGTGAGATTGTCGAAGTGAGCGACGGTTTACGCGCTGTGATCAGTCAATGTCAGACCTGCGTGAGCGCCGCAGCAGCAAAAATCAGGCGATGTGAGAAAGAGCATACAATAGAAGCATTTCCGAGCTTAGGATACGCGTTATCCTGGCCGCGAGGGGGGGGTGATGGCGCTGACCAGGATCGGCAGAGTCAGCCCTCCGCCCTGCCTCCTCCTCCTCCTCCTTTTCCTCTTCCTCCTCCTCCTCCTCCTCCTCCTTCCTCTGTATCGTTCCCCCTCCAAGATGGCCCTTCACCGTGTTGCTGCTGGACGAGCCGCCCGGGCCCGAGGCGGCGGGCCCTGGCGCCTCGGAGCAGGACGGCTCTGGGCGCCCGCCGCTCCTCGTCGCCGCTGCCGCCGCCTCGCCGCGAGGGGGAGCCGGGCCTCCGTCGATGCGAGCTCTTGGATCCGGGCTGAGCTGAGGAAGTCAGGGCGTGTGCATTTTTCTCGGCGAGAACCATCGAGGACCATGCTGGACCATCGCGCAAAACAGGCACGAAACCGAAGCATGCACGGGAAATGGACGTCCGAGCGAAGGCAGGACACGGAGTGCAGTGGATCGAGCAGTGGCGAAGCGTCCTGGCTCGCCTACAGCCGTACTGAACAATGTTCTGAGAACTTTTTTGGTGGTTTCCACGAAATGTTCTCAGACCATGCCTGGCGGAGTCTGTCTTGTTTTTTTTGCCACGTCGGGTTTATGTTATGAAAACATTGCTTTTGTGGTTAGCAAATTTTTGGGTTCTAAGAACATTTCGTGGTATGACTAGGAATGCCGGGACGGTCGGTCCCTGCTCAAGTGGAGCAGCCCGTGAGTGTCGCAGCACAGACAGGGGCAGCCGGAGGAGAGGCAACGACAGCAAGAGTACAAGCTCGGCCCGCATCGGGGCGCGCCTCCGCTGAGCCTCCGTGTCTCGGCTGACCAGGGACCAGACGTGTCAGGCGTGTGCCGGCACGGGCTCATCCATTTCAGCAACGCGTCCGTCGGAATCGCAGCCAGAGTCCATGCAGTGCAGGAGTCGGGCCCCGTGACAATGCAGATTGAGTCGGGGGGGGAGGGGGGGGGGGCTTGCCCTTCTCCGAGCGGGACACCCCAGACATGTCCCAGGGTGTGGCATGGCCAGGATTTCGGAGGAACTTGGCCGTTGCAACGAGAAGCCCCCGAAACGGGCGAACAGAGAGCTCGCAAGCCCCAAGCCTCGATCCTCGAACCTTCCCAGAGCGATACGACGCAACATTGTTGTTTTTTTCAAGTGCGGTGCCCCAGAAGTTCCTACGAACCTTTCCCACAAGCCGCCGTTTCATTCTGAGCCGCTTCTTGACAGCACGCCAGGGCCGAACATGGTGAAAGCATCAGAATCGTGTTATTCAGTACGTTGGAGTTCTGCCCTGGGATCCGACGCTTTGATAAAACATATAACATCGCGGAACTTCAAGACAAGAGCCCTAGACCCCATTTTTCCGCGCCATTTTTAGAGCCAGACTGGTCTGCAATGGCCCCGGGGCCACAAACCAGGCGAGAACGCCCATGTTCAAAAAGTTGCAGCGCATGGATCTCAGGGTGGGTCCGAGTCAGGACGCCCTTAGCTCCCGCTTCTTGGACCCCGGCGACCCCGAGTGCCGCGACCTGGCGCCGATCGACGAGCAGCTGGGGCTCCACTTGGAGGCTCCCGCCGAGCCCTGCGCCGCCGTGGAGCTGGGCGCCGCGCGCGAGCTGCGGCGGTGCGTGATCGCTCCCGGGAGCTCCGGGCGTCGTGAAAGCCTCTGCTGGGCCAGCGTCGGGGGCACACGCACGGTGCGTTGACAATTCCGTGTGGTGAGTCAGTCGGGATTCGTGGTTACCGCACGGTTTGGGGCATTCGGGTCGTTCTAAGAGGACGTCTCGGGCGACTGGAGCCCTCAGGGTTCCAAGTCACACCGTACCGTTCTGGGGCCTCCACCAACGTGAGGGGTTGAAGAGGAACAGATGCGCAAACAGAAATTTTTTGAGCGCCGCGCGAATTTGTTCGATCGGAGGTAGGGCCCCCTGGTGGCGCCTCCAGCGCCGCCTCTGGCGCGCTCCGCGCGCTAGGAAGGGCTGGCAGGACGGGGAGTGGGGTTCCAAATGTTCCGCCTCTGGGGTCCCTCGGAGGGTTGCGTGACCGTCAAAAACGACTCGGGCCGAAAAACTGGTCCCGTGGCAGTGGTCGGATGATGCACGAATGATGGGGACCAACATTGAATTTAACAATGACCGAGCTCCACGTCGACGTCTCCCACTCTCAGCCTGCGTCATGGTCGTCGCGTTCTCTCCCTCTGCTTCTGCCCCTCCGACGTCTGGACCCATCCCCCAGCGATGCTGGACGTCTTGAGCGTCCTGCACGGACTCGCCGGTAATCCAACGGGTCTTGAGAGAGACGGGTCGTGAGGTTCATTGCCCCGGTCTCAGGCCCTTGGGGACCCTCCTGGGCCCCGGGAGCCCGCAAGAAGCACTGCTCGGCATGGAGAGCTAGTCTTTGGGGGGAAGCCCCGCGGTGCGGGGTCCAGGGCCCGACTCTCTCAGAGCACGCCAGCCTCACGCCAAGCGTCCGAGGCCCCCGCGCTCCTCGCGCCCCTGGCCCCACCTGACGACCAGATGACCTCCGGCTGCCGTGCGATGGATCTGGCCCGCCTCCAAGAGGAGTCCCGTGACAGACGCACCCGTCCATTGCCGAGCCATGCGCGCCCACGGAGCACCAGCACACTTTCGGCCTATCGGCCGCGGTATGCCGGGTGAGCGAGGCGGGTCGGGAGATCTTGCCGGCTAATCGAGCAGCCCCGACCTGTCGGGTGGGCAACCAGGCCCTCGCACCCACGCAGTGTGAAGGCGTTGCAGCGCAGGCTGCAACGCGAGGCCAAAGCAGCCGCATGTTCTCTGTGGCGGGATGGGCAGCACGTGTCTCGCGCAGGTTTGCACCTGCAGTTTCACTTAGTTGCCGAGCCATGCTATTGCAAGGTATGCTCCGCAGATAGGAAATACCTGCCCTCGCATACTCAGGCCGAGCCTTGCACTGCACGGCACGGACCGTCGTCGTCTCGGCGCGGGGACAGCGCGGGCCCCTCGGGCGCCGCAGCCCAAAAAGACTCCGACGGCCTCTTCGGTCGAATCGTCCGAGGTTGAACTGCTCCAGGCCTTCCAGATTGGTCCGATTAGACAAGGTCAGAGGATCGCGCCGCATCGTGGATGCATCGCCGATGTGGCTCGATGTGGAGCCCGATCTTCTCCACGGCGACGCCGCCGACGCATCACCGGCGTCGCCGATGCATGATCCATCGGCGATTCGGCGAGATTCTCCGACCCCATCTAGCGGGCCACTGAAAATGATCCCCCCCGAGTGACGGAAGCAGGGAGCTCACGTCAGGGGCAACGTTTCGGGTTAGAGCTTTGAGGTTTCGGACGGTTTCGCCGCTGCCCTGCGCTTTGTTCAGCCTCGGGATGCCTTCCAGCAGCTGCGCCTCCCCGAGGGCGGCCTGTCGCCGATCAATCGGCGACATGTCGCCGATTCAAGCTCGACGTTTCCAAGACGACGGCGCCTGGTATAGATTTAGGAAGGGTTAGTAGAGGGTTGTCGAGAAGTCGCCCAAGCGGGGTCGGAAGAGAACGGGTTCTGTCGGAAACTGGAACATCTACGCTACCAGTGGCGGGCTGTTTTTCTATCCCAGGACTTTTTGAGGGTCGAGGACGACGCTGGGGTGGTGTGGTGTATATTTGTTTCCCCCGATGTCCCGGGGAAATAACGAAAAATGAATACACCAAGGTCCTGTATACACCAGGATCCGCTCTCAAGTGCAGATTCGAATGCAGGACCCGTAGAAGCGTCGGTGTATAGAGTTCGATTCTTTAAGGGGAAGGCCTCGGGGTCCGGGACCCGCTTGCCTAAGGACCCATTCCCCCCACGCCGACGAAGCCGAGCTGAGCACCGAGTCGTTCCACGCCTGTCTTTGTAGTCGGGTCAGGCTTTTCTGCCGCCGGGGCGTCAGCGGGTCGTCCCAAACCGACGGCGTCGTGAATCTTGACGTGAAAGGCCCTCTAGGAACGGCTGCGACGACATCAGAAACTCCAACTGGTACGGCTGGCTGCACGACAAGCTCGTGGCCTCGGATGAGCGAGATTGCGCTGCTGGGAGCCTCTTCGAGGAGGTGCTGTGCGAGGATTTCCCGGACCCATTCGCAGCCAAGCGAAAGGTCCGGGTTCTCCCCGAAAGCACAGAACATATTATACGTTCCGCAGAAATCGAACACAACAACAACAACAGCAACAGCAACAACAACAACGCACGACAACAACAACAACAACAACAATCATTTTACCCGAACGCGTGGTGTTCTCCCCAGTGCCAGGGTTTTCATACGACACCAGGCAATACCCCCACTTCGTGGGGGGGCATTACAAGCTCTACCAAATATCCAAACGACTCTTCGCGACCACCCAAACCCAGCTTCCCGCCCTATGACGTTGGGACACTTCACTTCGTGGCGTGCGGACGACCGTGGCTACTACACTGGCGTGGGGTACACACCCACAGAACTTGGTCACTTATTCGGGGCGCGCATGTGCCCAGCATGGTGCAATTGTGCCATACAATACATAATACAGAGAGACGAATGTGTCCCGCATGGTATTATTTGACAGGGATGATGGCCCTGGCAGGTGCGCAACCGTTGTCGCAGAAGTTCGAAAAAGTTGCTCGCAAAAGCCCGTTTGACAGAAATGTTTAAAAAGTGTTGGTTTTCCTACGAATCCGCAAGAGCGCGCGCAAGAGCGCGCGGGATGAGATTTTGACATTTTTTTGTTGAAAAACCATTGGTTTTTTGATGTTTTTATGTTAAAATCGCTCCGAACACTAAGCTTTTGGAAGGATTTCGTCTTGCGCGCGCGAATGTCCACTTTACCTTATTTTTTGCAAGGGATTCTTGAAATTTGATTATATTAGAACAAGAAATGTCATTTTATAGTGTTTTTTGCAAGGGAAAGCGGGGGGGAACAAAACAACCGGATCTTGATCACATCGAATTACTTGAGGCTTCCTCACGAAAATGATGAAAACGTGGCTGCGGCCTAGGCGCGGCGGGGGGGGCGCGCACCAGGGGGCCCAACAATAATTATTCTTTAGAATTAATAATGTTCAACAACAACAACAACAACAACAACAACAACAACAACAACAACAGCAACCACACCAACAACAACAACAACAACAGCAACAGCAACAGCAACAACAACAACATCAACAACAACACAACAACAATAACAACACTAACAGCAACAAAAACAACAACAACAACAACAACAACAACAACAACAACAACAACAACAACAACAACAACAACATCAACACCAACAACAACAACAACAACAACAATAGGTGTGGATCCCATTCTTGCGCGACAAGCTGCGGGTAGGCCCCGACACCGTTCTGGTGGGGCATTCCAGCGGGGCCGAGGCGGCAATGCGGTTCGCCGAGGAGCACCCCGTGGGGGGCCTTGTCCTTGTATCGGCCTGCCACACCGACTTGGGCGACCGGGGAGAGCGCGCCAGTGGCTACTACCCTCCATCTGGCGGACCGTGGCAGTGGGAGAAGATCCGAAAGAACACTGGTTGGATCATTCAATTCCACTCCCGGGACGATCCTCTGGTGCCCGTGGAGGAAGGGCGCACCGTTGCCGCAGAGCTGCAGAGCGAGTATCACGAGCTGGATGGGCGCAGCCATTTCTTTGACCCCTTCGACGAGCTAATAACGGTTTTGTCGGCAAGGATGAACGGGTAGGTCTCGGACTCATGATTGGAGCATTGCCGGCTCTGAGCCCTTAGATTGGCGCGCTTCAGTGCAGCAGCAGCAGCACTCGGCTGAAGTGTCGATCGCATGGCAATGGCTAGCCACGCGCGGCTGACAAAAGTGCTACTCGATGGCGTGGAAGGGCGAGGATTTCTCTCCAAAGGTGCCTACCTCGGCAATGCCACCTGTCCCAGCGAGCACGGCAATCGGGCATGTGGCTTGTTCTGCGTACGTATACGTAGGCTTGTGCGCGGGAGCGCGCGCGGTACATTCAAGCACGCACTCACTCGCCCATGTGTCAGCATTCGAACGCAGACCTATCTGAATCGCATGCGCCCAATAGTGCCTTGTGCACCCAGACAGCTTTTTGGTGGCCGACGCCATCATGTACATTGGCGTACCGTTTTGCAGTCGCGCGCAGGCTTGATGGGAAAGAGCAGGAGCAGGGAGCAGAGGATGAGGCAGGGGAACAAGATGAGCAGGAGAGAGAGCAAGAGGACAGCTGGAGGAGAGCATGTGGAGCAAAGCGAGGGCGAGGATGATCAGGAGGAGGAGAAGAAGATGCACAATGACTGGAGCATGCGCAGAATCGTGGAGAGAAGGGTGGCAGGTCAAAGGAGCAGGACGAGCAGGATCAGGAGGACGGACAGAAGCAAGACAAAGAGCGGTAAGAGGATGATGAAAACGACGACAAACCGCAGGTTTGAAAAAGGAGGACGAGGCGGAAGAGCAGGATGAGGCCGAGAATGCACTGGGAGACCAGAAGGAGAAGGGCTCTTCGGGAATCTGCGATGACTGACATTGTCCACCTGGGAAGAATTTAGCGCTCCAGCCCACGGGGCGAGGCGCTATCGGAGCGGCTCCGGAGCGAGTCCAGGGACCCCCCCCCCTGGGGGAAGTCTATGGGGGCCCCGTGTGGATACACACCCCCAGGGGGGGTCTTTGGACACCCCTCGGGTGGATCAAGAGTAAGAGGAGGACGATGACGAGAAGGAGCCGGATGCCCAGGAGCAGTTGGAGGATGAGCAGAAGCAGGCGGGGGAAAGCATTAAGTCGGACATGTCCCTCTACATGAGGAGACGCAAGAATTGTGACAGTAGTAGTATTGTGACGAATCTTCGTGCTTGTGTGACTAGTCTTGATCATTATGTGTTGGCTATGTTTCAATTCCCTTCCACAATCCGCCTGTAGGAGGACATGCCCGACCCAACAGACGAGCAGGGAGAGGAAGAGCAGGAGGAGGAGGAGGAGCAGAAGAAACGCGAGGGCGAGGGCACGGCGGCACATGTCGAGAAGCAGCCCGCGTGTATCGTTGACAAGAAGCAGCAGGGTGAGGGGAAGGAATGGCCGGGCCAGGGAGAAGCATAGGAGGAGCAGGCGTAGAATGATAAAGAGTAGCAGGTGGCGGACGTGGAGGATGAGCAGGATGATTATGATGATGGGGATGAGGATGAGGAGGAGGAGGAGGAGGAGGAGGAAGGGGAGGATGAAGAGGAGGAGGAGTAGGAGGAGGAGGAGGAGGAGCAGGTGGAGGAGGAGGATGAAGAGGAGGATGCGTATGAGGTGTGGAAGCAGGAGGGGACGAACGATGACAAGGGGGAGGAGGAAATGAAGGGTGGTCGCACGTGCAAAATAAGACACCCCATGCGCGTTCGCATCTCCTTCCCCTCCTGCTGCTTCTTCTCCTCCTCCCTCCCTCTCACTTTCCATCCATCTCCCTCCCTCTCTCTATCTCTCGCTCTCTCCCTCTCTCTGTCTCTCTGTCTGGCCCTCTCTCTCTCTTTCTCTCTCTCTCTCTCTCTCTCCCTTCCTTTCCCTCGTCCTTCCTCCCTCTCCCTCAAGCGGAGAATGGGGAATGAGGCTCCTCCCATTCCCTTCCCCCCCCCCCCCGAAACATTCGTTGAGTTGGTCCAGCCCCTGGAGCTCTCGACGCCTTGCCTGGGACCCGCTTTGTTCCTAACTCGACCCGTTCCCTGGGACTGGCTTCTCATTTGGAGTAGTTGTTTTGACCGTCCCGAGGTCGTATGAGGGTTCCCCAGAGGCCGAGAGCAGAAAGGCAACCTCCAGTCGTGGTGACTCGTTCGCACCGAGGGACGCAGATCCTGAGATCCGACACCACGAACAACCACAACATGTCAACAAGAGTCCACCGGAGCCCCTGAGCCGTGGGTGTGTGTGTGTGTGTGTTGCCCCCTTCGGCTCCGCCGACCGCGCGGCGGTCCGTGTCGGCCCTCGTCTGGATGCCTGCGCCGCCCTGCACGGCTCCGGTGGGCAAGCGCTCGTCGGCACTGCAGGGGGACCCCAGGCCAAGGAGCGCTGCTTGCCTCCAGGGTGCGCAGGATTTCTCGGGTTTCGACGGTTCTGCTGCGGAACGCGTGACGCTCCCACACCAACAAAAATCAATGAAGGCTCTGGGGTCTCAGGGTTGGGTCTTTTGTGGAAGGTCTCTTGTGGTCGAGCTCCTACTGTAACTGTTTTGTCGGCGGCCACTAGGGTCCAGCAGCGGGAGGAGGAGGAGCAGGAGGAGGAGGAGGAGGAGGAGGAGGAGAATGAGGGAAACGACAGGGCTTGGCGTGCTGAGGATCCGAGCGAAGCGGGGCGCAGCGAGCGCCGCGCTGGTGGGCGTCCAACGCGCCCTGCAGCGCGACAGGCGGGACCGCGCGGAGCGGCCGAGGTCCGTGGGCAGGTTGCCGTGCCGTGCCCCAGCCGGGGGCTCAGGAGCAGGACCGGGAGGCGGCGCTCGCAGCCGCCACCGCGCGCAGCATGCGGTGGGCGTCGGCACGGCAGCGTTAGGGAACGAGCAGAGACATCATCTTACTAACTCGGAGGTCCGCGCGGATTTCTCGGATCGGCGCTGGGGCCCCCTTGGCGGCGCCTTCGGCGCCGCCGCTGGCGCGCTCCGCGCGCCAGGGAGGGGGGTCCAGCGCGGATCCAAAAAATCCGAGCGGACCTCCGAGTCTTGATATTGATGCCATGTTTCGTTCCCCTAAGCGTGCGATGTGGCGCATCTGGCCCTCTGAGTACATGATATCCCCCACCCTGGGCGCAGCGTGCACCGAGGAAGCCCTGGCAGGGGATAGCGTGCACCGACGAGGCCCTCCTCCTCCTCCTCCTCCTCCTCCTCCTCCTCCTCCTCATCCTCGCAGGGGGAAAGCGTGCGCAGAGGGAGCCCTCGCGGGGGGGGGGGGATCGCCTCTAAGGGATGGCGTGCTTTCCGGAGACCGATGTTGCACGCCATCTTTGCAACGCCAACCGCAGTGGATAGTCTTCCCGAGCGGCCTTTCTGGCGGCGGCTCCAGCGCCTATCCAATAAATCCGCGCGGGCATCCGACAGTTTGTGTTCATGCCGTTTTTCTCCTTCCACTGCAACGGACAGTCTTCGGGGTACGTTTACAAACACTCCAATAAAAAACGAAGCCATGCTCGCAACCGCCACCGAGCACGTACACAGACCCTGTCGCGTCGTGAAACGACCATGACGGGAGTTATCTTTTGCTCCTGGGGCCCCTTAGTACAGGTCAAGGGGCCCTCAAAAGACAACGCTCGGGAGGAAAAGCCAGACCCCTGGGAGGGGCACAGACCACGAACCAATCACGACAGGGGAGGGGCTCCCAGACATGCGACGTTCTGACTTTTTCAATAGGGGGTCCCTGAAGGTCCCGACCCTTCCCCAGGACCGGTTTTTCATCCTGAGTCGGTTTTTGACGGTCCCAAGGCCCGGCGAGGGCCATAGAAGGCCGAAGAGGGACAAAAACCTCCCGTCTTGATTTTTTGCACGGCGCGATCGTGTTTGGTCTTGGAGCAGTGGACAGTCTTCGGGCAAGTTGCCGAGCGTGAGACATTCGGCCAGCCGTTCACCGTGTCTCGGGCGAACGCCCGCGTGCCTCGGTCTGTGTGTGTGTGCGCGCGTGCGGCTCCCGCCCTGGCCAGCTTTTGTGAGATCACCTGTCAGCCCTGCGGGGGGCTTGCCAGGAGACTGTTTTTCTAGAGTGGGTTATCGGGCTTGCCCCCCCTCTCAAGCAGTGGCGAAGCGTCCTGGCTCGCCTATGGCCATACCAAACAATGTTCTAAGACCCTTTTCTTGTGGTTTTCACGAAATGTTCTTAGAACATGCCTGGCGGAATCTGTTTTGTTTTATCACATCGGGTTTATGTTCTAAGAATATTGTTTTCGTTCTTAGAACATTTTTGGGTTCTAAAAACATTTCGTGGTAGGACTATAGGAGTGCCGGGACGGTCGGTCCCTGCTCCAGGGGGGGGCTTGCCACGAGACTGTTTTTTTAGGGTGGGTTATCGGGCTTGCCCCCCCTCCCCTCCCCCCCCCCCCCAGGATAACCTAACTGGGCGGGAGGGGGGGGGCGCGGGCATATGCAGGGTTGCCCACAGCGCGAGGGGTAGGTTCTCGGCCGGTCCCCTCCTTCCACCCTCCCCGGGGTAACTTGGGTTATCGCCGATTCCAAAAAAACGTCTCCAGGCTTGACGACGGCCGGGGCGGCACACCGGCGACAGAGAATGGGAGGGAGGACCCTGACAGGGCTCGTTCCGATTCCTCCGATTCGATACTCGATTTCGATGGCGTAATCACGATGGGGAGGCTGCTGGATCAGGAGCCCGTGGCCCGAACAGGCGACCGGCTTCTCATCCCGAGTGGCTCTTCGACGGTCCCCCGGGAACGGGGTGGGGCCCCTCAGCGGCCGAAGATACACCAGATTGCCCCCTGTGTCGTGCTTAGCGGCGCGAGGAAGTCAGGGAAGGTGGGGGACTGGTACTGTTAAGTCGGGCATGTCCCTCTACAGGAGGAGTGTCCAAAAATGAAATAAAAATAGTCTGGGGACGATTTCTCTTGTATTTTCCAATGTTTGAATATTTGTTGACCAACTATTTTTCGAGTTTCGCCCGGAATCCACCCGTAGGAGGACATGCCCGACCGAATGGTAAGACTTTGGCGACATCGGGCTGCGCACAGGCAGCCCCCCAGGTAGTCCCCTTCTTACTCCGAGTTTCTGAATATGCGTCAAGGGGGGGCGTCACCCCCGCCGACAGCCCCACATCGATCCCCGTCGCGGGTAGCCACCGCGCGCCGAAGGCGCTCCGACCCTCGCCGCGGCGCGACGACGAGGCGAGGTTGACACCCGTCGGGGGGTACCCAGGGTAGCCTCAACAGGCACCCCGTCTGGGCCGGTCTTAGCGCCCCAGCCCTGGGGCGCGGAGCGCCCTGGGGGCGATGCCGGAGACGGCGCGGGGCGACGACGAAGACGGCGGAGACCGCCTCGAACTATTCGGAAGGCCTGTTGCGCCCAGCTGGGACTACCTACCTGGGAGGGCGGGCTGCGCGCAACTCGAAGCCGGACCATGGAGGATGGCTCTCTACGGAACCCTGCCAAGGGATGCAACTCCATGGAGGTCAAATTCAGCATCGGCACTGGTAGATCCGTGGTCGCAAGTTGAAATGATCTGATCTGACGCCGAAGAGTTCCGGTTTTAATGCCACTTGCCCCGGCCTCATCCTAAGCTTCATGTGAGCTAATCTGGCCGAATGGCCCCTGAATCGACCTCAATGCCCCTGAATCTTACGTTGCATCTTCGGGGGACCTCGCCTGTCCTCCAAATTGGTGTCTTTTCTTGTGCCCGACGCGGGCTCGACGCGGATTTGGCGTGGACTCGACGCGGATTCGACCCGCATTCGACACGGATCCGACGATGGTGGCATGGATTCGGCATGGTCCGCGCCGGGGACAGACAAGGTCCCCCCTGAGAATGCAACATAACCATTTGCTCCAGCTTCATCCCGGGCTTAATGTGGGCTGATCTGGCCGAAAGGCCCCTGAATCTAGCTCTATGCCCATGAACCGTTCTTGCTACAGCGCCGGTTTTAATACATGCTCCGCGTGGGGGCCATGTATCAAAAATAAAGTGTTGATTAAGAAGTACAAGGATGAGTTTACGCATTCATATATTCATACATTAATGACGTGTTACAGATCCCAGGTAATAGACATCCTATGTGTTAGAACCTGCCCTGTAGGGCCTCCCAGAAGTTGCATCCGAACCTTCGGAGCCCTGCCGCCGTGATGTCTTCGCGGCGCGACGATGCCAGAGTCAGGTCGGACATGTCCCTCAACAGCAGGAATACTCAAGAGTAGACTTTGTTTAACAATAGTCTGGGGACGATTTGTCGATTTACTTTGAAATCTGTCGACGATACAAGAATTAGGTCGGGCATGTCCCTCAACAGAAGGAGTACTCAAGAACAGTTTTTAACAATAGTCTGGGGACGATGTGTCGATTAACTTTGGCATATGTTTGATTATGTTAGGAGTATGTTTAATTGTTCTTCCATGATCCGCCTGTAGGAGGACATGCCCGACCTAATGCCAGGGTCCAGTCCAGGAGGCAAAGGTCGACCCCTGGGCTTGTTCTGAGGTGCGCTCTGAGCAGAAAGCCGAGGCGGATTCAGCCGTGGCAGCGAGAAGCCCCCCAGCGGCAAGGAGAGTACGGACAAAAAGGCCCACCACTCTTCACAGCGCCTTCCACCACTCGCAGAGTGCCTACTCGCAAACGTCCGAAAAGCACATGTCTGCATCGATGTCATGTATCGCGAATCCCCCCTGGCGGATCCAGGCCTCTGCGAGTAGTGGAACGCGCTTGTCTAACTCTCGAGCCTCCGAGCTGGAACACATGGGCCGCCTGGAGGCTGGCCCCCTCGGGGGCCCTGCCGCCTCGACCCCCGGCCTACGCTGGCCCGGCGCCAGGACGCCGACGAGAAGGCGCCGCCGATGGCCCCCGGCCTCAGCGTGCGGATCCACGGGCTCAAAGGAGGGCATCCCCCCCGCCCTCTGCGCTGAGGCGCCGTCGAAGGCCGGCGACGACGACGACGACGACGACGACGACGACGACGACGACGACGGGGAGGACGAGGACGACGACGACGTCGACGACGACGACGATGACGACGGCGACGGCGAGGATGACGAGGACGACGAGGAGGAGGACGACGACGCCGACGAAGACGACGACGACGAGGACGGCGACGACGACGATGGCGAGGACGGCGAGGTACACCAACGGCGAGGACGGCGAGGTTGGAGGCGAGGCCCAAGGCGACGGCGCAAAAATAAGGAGCAACGTTAGGAGTGGATAGGCTCAGCGGGGGATTGCATCGAACCCTAATCACCCATTGAGCACCGATAGAGGCCCGCTGGCACACCCCGCCCAGGAGCGTGCGTGCGTTTCCGTTGTCGGTGGCCTATCGCCGATCTATCGGTGATGTATCTCCGACTCGAGCCCGATGTCGCCCCCCCTCCCCCCCCCTTGTGCTGGCCCCCCAACGTCGATTCTCACGAAGTCGGCGAGGAGGGCCAAAGGCGACGACGACCACGCCAGCGGCTCCTTCTTCCCGCCGCGGCGCCGCGGCCGCGGCCGCCGCGCCGGTGGCCGCGCCCCACTCGCAGCGACGCGCGGCGCCGCGAGAGCCTGCCGCCCCCCCTGGGGTTTGGCGAGAGGGGGAGGGGATGGCCGGGCAGCGCCGCGGGGGGTCCACCAGCTCCTCTTGAAAATCAGAGGATCGAGATGGGCAGGAGGACGAGGAGGAGGAGGAGGAGAAGGGAGGGGGGGGGCTCTTCCTTGGGCTCCTCCTAGAAAAATCGAGGCTCCAGGATCGAAGCTCGAGGAGGTTTCCTGGGAAGGCTTTCTCGCGTGCGCTCGGGGGCCTGCTGCCTCGAGACTCTGGCGCACTGCCTCGAGGAGGTGGCGGTCCCCTGGTTGGGACTCTCCTTGCTTGCATGGCCCCAAGAGAAAGGAGGGGAGAGAGAGAGAGAGAGAGAGTCAGAGGAGGAGGAGAAAAAGGAAGAGGAAAAGGAGGAGGAGGAGGAGGAGGAGGAGGGGGAGGAGGGGGAGGAGGAGGAGGAGGAGGAGGAGGAGGAGGAGGAGGAGGAGGAGGAGGAGGAGGGGGAGGAGGAAGAGGAGGAGGAGGAGGAGGAGGAGGAGGAGGAGGACAATGAGGAGGAGGAGGAGGAGGAGATGATGGGAGAAGGAGGAGCTTGTGGTGACCCTCCTTGCTGGCATGGTCCCTCCGAGAACTTTCCTCTTGTTTTTGGAAGGATTAAAACTTTAAAACGGTTCTTGCTCCGGTAGCCTTTCCTCAAGGGGGGGGGGCAGGTCAATGGTGTGTCTCCCGGAATTGTTCCAACAGATTTTTTTCAAGGGACATTCTCGAAGGGGGTATGGTGGTTCCCCCCGGGCCCCCCCCCAAAAAAAATCACCCTCAAGGTGAGTTTTGGGCGCGCTGGGGGGGTGGGCCGAGTGAGCCCCCCTGACCCCCCCCCGCCTGAAAGGAGGTTTTTGGAGGCGTCCCCGTTAACCTTTCCAAACACCCGCTTTGGGAGGGGTTTTCGGGGAGGACTCGAGGGACCAAGAAACCCGATCCATCCAAAACCTCTTTTTTGACGAGGGGTTTGGGATCGGAGAAAATCGACGGTGCTTCGAGGGGCCCCAGGGCGGGGGAGGAGGAGGAGGAGGAGGAGGAGGAGGAGGAGGAGGAGGAGGAGGAGGAGGAGGAGGAGGAGGAGGAGGAGGAGAGGAGGGAGGAAGGAGGAGGAGGAGGAGGAGGAGGAGGAGGAGACGACGAGGAGGAGAGGAGGACGAGCGGAGGGGAGGAGGGGGAGGGGGAGGAGGAGAAGGAGGAAAAGGAGGAGGGAGAGGGGCTCAGGGAGGGGGAGGGGGAGGAGGAGGAGGAGAAGGAGGAGAGGAGGAGGAGGAGGAGAAGGAGGAGGAGGAGGAGGAGGAGGAGGAGGACGAGGAGGACGAGGAGGACGAGGAGGAAGAGGAGGACGAGGACGAGGACGAGGACGAGGACGAGGAGGAGGACGAGGAGGAGGAGGAGGAGGCGGAGGAGAAGGAGGAGGAGGAGGAGGAGGCGGAGGAGGAGGAGGAGGAGGAGGAGGAAGAAGAAGAAGAAGAGGATGAGGAGGAGGAGGAGCAGGAGGAGGAGAAGGAGGAGGAGGAGGACGAGGAGGAGGAGCGGGGGGAGTTCTAAACTCTGATCGGATTCGACTCTGCCAGCGAGGGCGCCCCAGAAGGCCCCCCCAAAAACAGAGCAGCATGTCAGCACCTTCCCGCACCTCCAGCATCTCTGGGATGCTTCGAGGCGTGGGCGCCACGGGACAGGCCTTCGTCCCGGGCCGTGCATGGGACAGACCCGGGGCCCGAGGCGCGGAGCGCCCGAGCCCCAAAGAGCTCAGAATGTTCCGAGGCCGCGGTCTGTTCGCGTGACGCCGGAGGTGAATCCTCCCTCCCTCCCTTCCTCCTCCTCGCCCCCGCGGCGGCGAGGAGGACGGAGGGGCGAGGGGGGCCCTCAGGATGCACATCCTGGGAAGTTGAGCTTCAGCATCGTCGCTGGTATATCCGTGGTCGGAAACCGGCCAAATCTGGTATAGTCCCGTTCGATCTCGCTAAAGCCCGTTTATCCCGCCAAATCCGTCTTAATCCTGGGCTCTGGCCTAGTCCAGCTCACGTCTTTCTCATAAGGAACAAGAACACAGTCACGGCAGCGTTGGGTTCCAAGGGAGCTGCACCACCAGAGCCACCCGAGCACTGACCTGACCAATCAGCCGTGGAATTGCCGCCGCAAGGCCACAATGAGTCAGGTCAGTACTCGGGCCTATTGGGCCTCGCCTGAAGGGGCTCGAACGACCCGATCGCTGACCAGACCCGTGTTTGATCCCGGACCTCATCGGGCTTCGTAGCCCTGAAGTCGTTCTCGCGAAGACCTCCTGGGAGTTGCCTGTTAAGGTCCTCATCGCCACCGCGGGGTCAGGCGGGCTCCCCCCTTTTCCCTGAGATCCGAGGCTGCGACAAATTTGAACATTTCGGAAAATCACACATGCACACCTGCATTTTTCGAGCCCGATCGATCCGTGATAGGCCCGAGGCCCGATAAACATTGGCAACGCTCGATCTCAGGGTCTGTCTTCCTCGCCCCCTGTGCGTCCTCGGGGCCGCGCGCGCGCGCTCGCGTGGCGCCCCGCCGAGCTTCGGCCTGGCGAGACACAAAGCTCCGGGCCCTCAGCGGCGCCCCAGCTGAACGACATGATGGCGGTAGTGGACCACCTCAACGCGGAGGGGCTGGGGAGGGGCGCCAGGGGGGAAGGGGGAGGGAGTCGGGCGGGTGGTAATGGGGGGTGACCTCAAAGAGGGGTGAACAGAAAAGGCATTACATAGGCCTTTTAGAGCCCCTTTTGGGCCCCCAATTACCACCCGCCCGAAAGGGGGGCAGGTTGACGAGGTCAGAGGTTCCAAGCCCTGCTGCTTTTATTGCTGTCTTCTCGGGGGAGAGGCTCTGGGGATGACCCCGTGTCCACGGCTTGACTCCCCTTCGGAATTCTCGCCTTTCCGCGTCCCAGGAGAGGTGTAGGGCATGAGGGCCGATTTTAGGGACGCTGGCTTTCCAATTTCCGCCCTCTAGGAGACGGTTCGGGTCCCAGGCCCCCTTACGAGTTACCTCAGCAAAGCACCGTGGCGTAGGTGGAGCTCCAAATTTCGCGAACCGCGAGTAGAGTAAGCCGAAATGTGGTGCGACCCGCATGCGGGTGACCTCATTGGCGCCGCAGGTGGAGCTTCTTGTGGCCCCATGGAGTACGATCTTTTCGAGGGGTGCGCAGAAATGGGCGGAGGACTGTATGCCGGCACCCTAATCAGCGCCGTACGTGGAGCCCCCATATGGATCACGAGCTGTTTGAGGTGTGCCGCGGCATGGGCGGAGGCATGCATGTCCGCGCCCCGCGCCCTCGGGGTGTGCCGAAATGGTGGGGACAGAGGGGGGCGGGCGGGGTAAGAGGTGACACGCGCGGCGCTGGAGATCGAAAGCGCGGACCTGCTAACACAATGAAGATCGGGAGATTAGACATTCACGACGTTGGATGTCCGGGGGAGGGAGGGGAGAGCAATTTAAATTGGAGGGTGAAAGTGGGGGTCGGGCGCAGGGTCCCGGCAATGGTGTCTTGATGGGCCATGCATGGGTGATACATCCTCGATTGCTGTGTTCGGTGGGGGAGCCAATTGAAGCTCCCCGCCTGCACCCATGCGCAACATTTGAGGCTAACCGAAGCAAGGGGGTGGGGGGGCTCGGGAAAGGCGACGAAGGCAACGTGCGCTGAGGGCGCAGACGACATGTTGGAATAAACGAAAGCGGTGAGGTGAGTGTCAACATCTGCCCAGCCAATCTGACATGCGGAACACCGCGCCGCAGTTTGTGGATCTTGAAGGCCAGGGCAAAAAGTGTATTCACATTGTGGGGAAAGCAAAATGTGAATTCACATTTTGGGGAAAAAGGAATATGTGAGTTCATATTCTGGAAACATGGAAAATGTAAATTCACATTTTGGATTTTTTTGTAGGAAGATGTATGAAGGGGCCAGAAAGTGAGTTTACATGTTGGGCTAAAGAAAAATGTGACTTCACATTTTGGAAACAGGAAAATGTGAATTCACAGTTTGGGAGAATCCAGGGAACCATTCCCAATCTGTCCTGGGGGTCGACAAGTCATCGTTTGGGAACATACGCGATCATCAATCGCACAATCAAGACACACTTGCACTCCACTTCGTCGCCCCACGCGCAATATGCAAGAACGCACGCACGCATGAACGATAATAGATGGACGGCGCGTTTGCCCGCGCGGGCAACTCGCGGGCACGAACGACTGGCCGTCGATGGCCGCCAACATTGGATGTCAATCGTACCCGATCACATGCATGAGCGATACATTGAGCATACATGGGCCATGCAGCTCCTATTGAAGACCCCCTGTTGCAGACCTCCTCCTTTCACCCTCCAATTAAAGGACACGCGGTTTTCCATGTGGACCTCGACATTCTTGGAGGAGGGGAAGAGATCATGTCGCTTCTGTGTGGGCAGGCGTCCTTCCGATGAGGGAGCAGGAAGCGGAGGGTTGACACGTACAATACATAGGCTGGCATCAGGCCTTGTTCTGCACCTTAGCGCCAGTTTCGCCGAATTCCTACCAGAGAGTCGCAAAGTTGAGAGGAAAGTGGGGTAGAGTGGGGAGGAGGGCAGGGGTATGGGGTGGGTATAGGGTGCACTGTGGGGAGGGCGAGGTGAGGAGGGGGATCAACCAGGGTTGTGAAGGAGGAGGTATACCAAAGTGATTGAGTGTGAGTGGCGGGGGAACGGGCAAGGGGCGAAGGATATTGTCGACAGAAAAGAGCGAGGTGGAGGGGCATAACATGTCTCTTTCTCGTCCTCGTTCTCCTCCCCCTCCTCTTCCGCCTGTTCCTGTCCTGCATCCTCCTCTTCCGCCTCCTCCTCCATGTCCTCTTCCCTCACAAGTCCACCCGTGGGCCTCTCTTGTGCAGCGCGTCCCGACCAGAACGCCGAGGAGCCTCCCGCCTTCGCGACGAGGACCGTCCACCTGGCCAAGAGCGACCGCATGAAAACGCCGCCAAGCTTCCCACGTTCTTCCGCCCAGTGCCTGCTCGAAGTTCGAAGCTGCGAACCAGTTCGCGTCGGTGCGCCAATACCCTCGTGGCCCCCCCCCGCCGTCTGCGGGGAAAACGGGAACCAAAGCCAAGAGGCAAGGGAGAGAGAAGAAGGGGGATTACGGATCGGCCAATCGATGAAATGATGCTGTTGTCCCTTCCCCCCCTCCAGTGTTGGAGGGTTGTCAGGAGAACGGCCGCTGGCACGTGCGCATGGTCAGCGGAGAGGTGAAGGCGCTGAAGCCCGACAACCTGAGCCCGGCCCCGCCGCCCCCCATCCCTGCCTGCATTCTTTGGAGGAGGATCCTCCCCCTGCCCTTCTTTCTCCCCCTCCCCCTCCTCCTCCTCCTCTTCCTCCTCCTCCTCCTCCATTCTTTCTCCTTGTACATAATATCTCCCTGCCGCACCCCGAAGCTAGTTTTCAGGGCGGGCCGGGCGTTTCGCAGAGACTCCCTCACCATTTATGGTTCTGATGCTTAAACATTGGCAACAGTTTCACAGATGGAGGGCGGTTGGTTTTCAAAATGTGGCACTCGCCTCAGCGCCGTGCACATTATTTTTAAACATTTGCAAAGCTGCACGGATTGATGATCACCCGTTTCCAACATGTTTCTCTCGCCTTAGCGCCGCGTGCATTCGTTTTAATCATTTGCAAGGGTTTTGCGGATTAAGGGCAGTTCCTGTTCAACATGTGGCTCTCGCCACAGCTCCGCGCACATTCGTGTCACAAAATTCCAAGAGTTTAAAAGGAATCCCACAATCAGCGTACCAGAAACTGTGTTTTGGAAGGATTCAAGATTTTGCGGGTGCAACAGTGAGGTTGATTCGCGGTGCTGAAATCCCGAGAACGGCGTTCTGGCACGATCCAGGGTCGTCAAGACGCAACAGTCAGGTTGATCCGTGGCGTTGTAATCCCGAGAACCATGCTTTGGCATGCTCCCGGGTCTTCAAACGGTTGTCTTCCAACGAGGCAGATCCCTCAATGGAAATGAACCGTTGCAGGCGCCTGAGAAGAGGGAGCTTGGAGGGACGGTGTATTCCAACATCGTTGATGGCTCTTGGGTTTACACTGGTCGTCGTCCTCCTCCTCCTCCTTCTCCTCCCTTCGGCACGCTGGCTACTCGTCTTCTTCTTCCTCCTCCTCCTCCTCCTCCTCCTCCTCCTCCTCCTCCTCCTCTACGCGCTCCTCATCGTGTACGTCCTCCTCTTCCGCCTCTTTTCCCCCTGCTGCACCTTCTTTTCCTCCCCCCCTTCCTCCTCTCCGTCATCGTCCGCCATCCGCTTCCTCCTCAGCCTCCGCCGCCTTTTTCCCCCTCATCTTGCCCCCTGCCCTCTATGCCAAGGATAGTCGCGATGTTGATGGGCTGGCGCGCCGGCGGACTGGGGGAAGGGATTCCGCAGCCCCCTCGTTTTTTTCTAAGGGGGGGGGTAAAGAAGAAGGATTTTTCAGGGAGGCTGGGGGATCGGTTCCAGTTTCCTGCAGTCAAGTGAACGTGGAAATTGGTCTCGCAGGTTGTGACGTATTCCTCCCCCGCCTCGTCGTCACCATCGTCCTCTTCCTATTTTTATTTTGGTTTTTTTCCGAAGAACCGGCGAAGTCACACCAACAAACCAGGAGAGGGCAGGGAGATTTCGGATGACGCGGAATGTGACTCTAGCAGTTTGGCGGCAGCCGTCAGCCTTACAGAATTAAAGGTTGCGTCCTCCTCCTCCTCCTCCTCCTCCTCCTCACCCTCCTCCTTCCCCCACATCATCCCACTGTGTCTTTCTTCTCCTCTTCTGTCTCTTCCTCCTGTAGGTTCGGCAATTATATTACAGGAGGTCCACCGAGAAGACCTTCCAAAATCTTCGGACAAATCTTCAACAGGAAACTCAAACCCCCAAACAATTTGGGCAAACTTTAAACCAAAACCTGGGAACATCTCGCACCCAAACAAAAACTTCAGAACGTCTCTAAGCCAGAACCTGTGTACATCTCAACCCCCCAAAAACTTGGAGCCGAAACTCCATAAACAAATTGAAGCAGAGAAATCGAAAAAAAACATAACCGCGCTTGATAACTTCAAAACAACGGCCGGGTTTGTTTAGAGATGTTTCCAAGTTTGTTTAGTTTCCGAGGCCACCGAAGTTTGCATTCCAATTTTTTCAGAGCTTATCCAGAGTTGTTTGAAGAGTGTGTCAGGCGGCAAGAGATTTGTTTTGAGCTTGCGAAGTGATTAGCATCGACATGTTTCGAGTTGTTTGATAACGTTTTAGAGCTTG